GCGGCTACCCGCCCGAGCCGGGCCGGCAGTACGGGGGCGCGCCGTTCGCGCCCGAGGGCTACTACAGCCAGCAGCCGGCGCCGCGGCCAGCGGACGCCGGCTCCTTCGACCACTACCCTCCCGGAGACCAGTACGGCGGATACGGCCAGTACGGCGGCCACGGCGCCGTGCCCGGCGGACCCGGCTCCGACCAGGCCGGCTCGGACCGCGGCGCGCGCGGCCGCAAACAGAGCACGTCTTTCGAGCACGAGCAGCCGGCGCCATCGTCGGTACCGCGCGGCCCGCGGCCGGCCGGGCCGCAGCAGTACCTGGAGATGGCCGTCACGCTGATGAGGCACCAGTCCGGCTTCGGGTTCCGCATCGTCGGCGGCACCGAGGAGGGCTCGCAGGTGAGAAAGAATACTGCTGGCCAGAGAGCTGTCACTCGCAGAACTTACACAAAAGGTGGCTCATTCATATACGTGGTCTCTCTTATCCTATCGTCACATATGCAGATGTGCTGGAAACCAATTATCGAGCCAGATAACCATCGTATTGTTTCGTCCTAAAATGCGGTTTAGCATGCTGTTTTTAGTTTTCTGCAAACAATAGCATGCCAGTTTATCTTACCGGAAACAAATTAAATGCAAGCATGGCATCAATGAACCATGACTTTCAACATTGGTGTCGCTATTCCTATTGTCATTTTCCTCCCTTTTTTCTTCTCTACCCTCTTGCTACCCCCCCCCCCCCCCCCCCCCCACCAGGTGTCGATCGGGCACATTGTTCCGGGCGGCGCGGCCGACGTGGACGGCCGGCTGCAGACCGGTGACGAGATCATCTACGTGGACGGTCAGCTGGTGGTAGGCTCCTCCCACCACCTGGCCGTGCAGCTGATGAGCCAGGCGTCGGCGGCCGGCCGCGTCCAGCTCGGTATCCGGCGGCGACTGGCGCGGCACGACGCGCTCAACCGCAGCCAGGAGCAGCCGCCGTACGAGGTGACGGTGACGCGCCGCGAGGGCGAGGGCTTCGGCTTCGTCATCATCTCGTCTGTGAGTCGGAGCGGCTCGACGATCGGTCGGCTGATTGACGGCAGTCCGGCGCAGCGCTGCCGTCAGCTGCACGTTGGGGACCGGATCCTGGCCGTGAACGGAGTGGATATCGCCGGCCTGCACCACGGCGAGATAGTGAACCTGATCAAGGACAGCGGGTACCGGGTGGTGCTGACGGTCGGTGCGCCGCTCGACGACTCGTCCAGCACTGCGTCCACTTCGCAAAAGGTGAGAGAGGCGCAGGAGGTCCGGGGGGGGGGGGGAGAGAGGACTGCTCAAGTGCTCAGCCTCATGGCAGTTAAAGGAGGGAAGGATACCGAGGAACGAGTTGCAGATAGTTGTTGATACGGGGGTGGGAGATGGGGTGGGGAGGGGGAGTCATGGTTACTCCAAAAGTTTAGGAAGAGGATGGAGAGCAAAAGACAAGGGGTTCAAAGGGTTTGCTGCGACTGGGAAATGTCTAGGCTCTCTGGGTTGTAGCACGTTTGTCGCTCATAACCATCTCCGCCATATGTCTGACTCGAGCCGTCTGTGTTCTCTTCTCCAGGGCGACATGCCGCCGACTGCCGGCCACCTGACCAACTCACTGGGCCGTGACGTGACGCCCGAGAGAGACCTGTCGTCACGGGACGTCACCTTCGACATGGACGAGAGTCTACAGTACCCGCTCAGGTACTGCCACATGCATCCAATCGCCCGTCTCTGGGGTTGTCGTGGCGAGAGCTATATTGGCTATGCGCAGCACAGGTGGTGTTACACGACATGCCCACATGGCTATAATTTCTTGATGGGTGACCCTTGCTTACATTTGCAAGATGATACCTACCGAGGGAGATTCGTTAACTATGACATTTTTCTGTCTTTCAGACGGGACCCAAGAGACCAGGACCACACTGGAAATGGAGATAGAAGAGTCAACTACCCTTGGCCACCCGAGGTCAGTCGGAAGTGTGGTATCTCTGACTACTTTTTTCTCACAAGGGACGGCGTGTGTGCTTCATTGCAAACTTATTGCACAGGTCCACTAGCAAACGTAACATGAAATTATCTAGAGCATATTGTCCCGGGTGAATCCCATTGCCAAATCTACATGTCACTCAATGTGTTAAAACTTCATGTTGGATCTTAGCCCCCTCCTCTGTCCCGTAACTAACCCCCGTTCTGTATCGTCAGGGTGAGGAGTACCACCCGATCGAGGGCGGCGGCGGCGGCGAGGACGAGTTTCACGGCATCGAGCTGAGCCGCGGCTACCGGGGCTTCGGGTTCTCGATCCGCGGCGGCCGAGAGTTCCACAACATGCCGCTGTTCGTGCTGCGGATAGCCGAGACCGGTCCGGCCGCACAGGACGGACGGCTCAGGGTGAGTGAGGGAGGGGTGCTTGCTGGCTGCTGTGGAATGACCGGGGCATGTCGGGGACCTGTCTCAAGTCACTGCTCCGGAACCTGGGCGTGCCCTGACGTTGTCCCAGGTTTTGTTTCACCTTCCCGCCTATGCCTCTGCCCTCTACCCCTGATTCTGTCCCTTGGCCATTTTCTAAAGGTGTCCCTGTCCCCTACTTCAATAACTCCGATTCTCTCTTGCGTCAGATCAAGGTGATGATCAGGATGACACCAATTGTTCAAACAACTCCTAGCAATCTGTCCGTGCCGAATCAAACCCTGCTCTGTCACCTCCCCCCCCCCCCCAACCTGACCTGACCTCACCCCCTACTGACCTCCGACCTACTCTCTCGCCCCTCAGGTGGGTGACCAGATCATCCAGATAAACCAGGTGAACACCAAGGACATGACGCACGGCGAGGCCATCGAGCTGATCAAGCAGGGCGGCTCGGTGGTGCGCCTGCTGGTGCGGCGCGGCGGCTCCATACCCCAGGTTGGTGATAGAGATGGGCCACAGATGGCCGAGATCGCGGTACTGGGATCTCACAACTAGGAGGGAGGGATGCTTCTTGGACAGAGGTCGGTTTGAGAGAGCTAGAGGGATTTCTGGCAATGTGGGATTTGCCGTTAGATAAAGCGAAGTATGCTAATTGCGAGTTCGACTTCGATGCGGGATTTTTGTGTGGTCTCATTGTCGATTTGCACGTCCTTTCCTAATTGCTGGATGACATTTTTCATGCTTGTTCTGATGCACACCTATTGTTTGTGTACACAATGACGGATGCCTTTTCGAGTCATCACGTTGCCTGTCAGGTGTAAGCTTGGGCGTCAACTTGAACAGATTTTCCTCCGTTGCTCATCCACCGTCCGTTTTCAATTGCCGGAACTCGGATGACGGCGCGTTGTCCGTGTTCATTGTCACAGCTCTCTCACATTGCTCTGTGTCCGTTCGCAGGCGATCCTGGACCAGGCGGCCTCTCAGGCGCCGTCCACGCCGACCTCGCTGGGCCCGCCGGGCCGCTCCTCGTCGTCACTATCGCAGCCGTACGGCGGGCCGGCCTTCTTCCCCGCCTCGCCGCAGCCGTACTCCAGCGGCGCGGCGGCGCCCGGCCACCGGCAGCACCTCACCAACGGCGACGTACCCGGCTACGGCCGCTACGCCGGCCACGGCTCGCACCTGGGCCACGGCGGCATGGCGCCGCACGCCGGACACGGCGGACATTTGGGGCACGGCGGACATGGCGGACACGGTGGTCACGGCGGACACTCTATGGGCCACGGCCCGCCGCCAGACGAGGCCCATGCCTATTGGAGCAGGCAGGCCAACTTGTAGCGTGTGTGCCCCCGCAGAGCGAGTGTCGAGAGAGTGACGAGTGTGCGGCGCGAGTGAGACGAGTGTGGCGCTGCCGCGCCGAGTGCGGCGCCCCCGGAGTCGGCCGGCGCGCCAGTGTTGGTGCTTCTGTTGTTGCGCGCGCCGCCGACCGCTGTTGCTCGGCCGTTTTGGTGCCGGCGTGAGACGCCGGCGGCTGTTACAGTGTGAGGATGTTCCGGGCGTCTGCCGTTCGCCGTTTGTTTGCTCGGAAAAAGACAATGCCAGCCTGATCTGAGGCCAGCCAAGCCGCTGCCATATAAGGAGATAGCCGCGGGCCAGTGAGGAGCACGGAGCGTGCGCCGAGCAAACTGTACAGATTCTAGGCTAGGCTCGCTACATCCCAGCATTGTACAAAGTGCATGATCAAAGTTTACATGAAGCACTAATAAAGTACAGGTATTTTGAATGGCGTTTGAGCGTTTGTGAATCGCTTAGGTGTACTTTGATGAGCGCGATATCCGTGGGTAAGTGATGCATTTTGTTTGATGGCTACAGTATTACAGGTGCGGTGTTTTGAACAGGGCTGCGGAGTGGGGATGGCTTTTCGGTGACTCAGACTCCGTTTTCCAAAATAGACTCCGACTCAGGTCAGAACTGTCGGCTCCGACCGACTCCGCAGCCGCCCTTTGTGAAACTGGGCTTTGGAACTAAGTACCTAGTGTAGCTTTTTTGTAGACTAGGACGGGCATCGAACCCGGGCCGTTCAGTGAACTCGGCGGATAAGCTGCCACACTTGATGCAACGATTCCCTACACTCCTCGGCCACCGCCTATCATCGCGCGATTCGCGCGGGTAGCATATGAAGCCATCCTGACAGTGTGTAGAATCTCGTCGGTCACTTCCGATCATCTGTCCCGAATTGCCCCTTTTACCAGAATTCTGGCTATAAATAACCCCCATTTCTCGCCGCCGTCCTTGCCATCAAAATAACGCAATACATACTACTGCGGAGCGTAGGTTTATTACCAAAGTTATGTGCCGACATTCAAAGCACAAAATCACATAGAAATGTATCACACGAACAGATACATGAATTATAATACACGATGCCACACGTAGGTAATCTCTCCATAAATGAAGGATGAAAACATTACAAAACGATGTCAACCGGTGAGAACTGAACAGACCTCGGTGTCGAATCTCCGGAGGGCGGCCGGGCAGCCGCTCCTCCAATGGTAACGATGGCGCCGCGCGGCCGGCGCCGGCGCGCCCCAAAGCTCAAACTAGCGAGCGGCGGGCACATCTGTACGGGGGCGGGGTAGGGGCGGGGCGGGGAGCTGCAGCTACACGGCACATGCACACACCAAACCGGTGAGAGAGTGGGCCCTCCGGCGCGCCCTGAAAGACGGGCCCCGGCCGGCCGGCCACACCCGGGGTCCTGAGCAAATCAACGACGAACAGACTGCGGGCGGCCGCGGCGCCGCGCCACATCGACACATGCAGAGATAAAACACACTGAGATCGCGTACAGAGGGTTCGCTCCGGCGGGGCTGACCCGCACTACACCTGGCACTCCCTCTCGTTATCACATCTAGCGTCTGGGCGGCCGCGCGGCGGCAGGCTACCTCCCGCCGCCGCCCGGCGGTCGACCCGGCCGCGGCCGCTTGCGCGCGGGCCCGGCGCCCGGCGCGGCGGCCGCCGCCGAGCGCCGCCGCATCGTCCCGTTGGCACGCTGTTGTCCGCCGGTCGCCTTGGCGGCCGCGGCTGCCGGCGGGGGCGGGGTGGCGGCGCTGGAGGCGCGGCTGGCCGGCCGCCGGGTGACCCCCGGCCGGCCGGGCCGCTCCGACCCAGCGCCCTCCGTCCGCCGACCGGTCACCGCCGGCGACCCCAGCCGGCCGCCGGGCTTCTCCTGGCTCTTTGGTCGCTTGTTGGACTTGTCCAAGCTCCCTGATCGGTTGTCACGTTTCTCCAAGCTCCAAGACCGCTTCAATTGCTTGTCGGTGCCTCCAGTCCTCCTGCCTAAGCTGACCGATCGTATATGAGGCATGTCCAGCTTGTCCGGCCGATAACTCGACCTGTCTACGCTCGTTTGTCGTGCAACAGGTTTATCTACACTCCCTCGTCGCGTAACGGGTTTATCTAGGGTGGTGTCATGCCGCGTAACGGGTTTTTCTACGCTCACTTGACTACTTTTAACTTTATCTACAACATCCTGACGTTTATCGAGTTTGTCAGGGCCTTCCAACCGTTTCTTGGGTCTCTCGGACCTCCGTTGAATCTTGTCTTGGTGGTCAGGTATTTCAGACTTCTTGCCAGGTTTATCCGCAGTCAGTTGTGGTTTCTTCAGCTTCTCAGATTCGCGCGGACCATTCTGGGTCTTTTCCAAGCCGTTGATCTGTTTCCTCGTCCGTCCCACGCTCCCAGCTCGTTTCTGCTCCTTGTCCGGGTTAGTTGCCGCAGTGTTTGGTTTGTTGGAGCCAGCCGTTTTGTCCGCCGTCCTGCTGCCGCGCCCGGCCGGCACTGGGGTAAGCGAGCGGCCGCTCCGCAGCGCAGGAGACTCACGGCCGTTACAGAGGCGAGCCGCGGCGCTGGGCCGGCCACCGCTCGGACGCCGCTGGCTACCGCCCCGGCCGGCCGCCGCCGCGGGGGCAGGCTCACTGGGCTGTGAACCGCGTCTGGTGGCCGGGGCAGCCGCCGGCGGGCGCCGTCCGTCACGACTGCTGGGCCGCCCGACCAGCCGCGTTACGACCGGGGATACAATGGCTGTCAGTCCGCCGCGGTCGCTGTCCGTCGGCTCGTCGCTCGCCGGCCGGCCGTCCCCGCTGGCCTCTCTGGCGCGCTGACTCGGCCGGCGGCCGGGGGACGTCTCCGCCCTGCGGTCGGAGGAGCGACGCTGAGAGGCGCGCTTCTCCCGCTGAGCGCCGCCCTCGGCCGAGCCGGACGGCCGCCGGGAGGACCGACCCTCCCTGGGCTTGTCTCCGCTCTCAGCGGCGCTCGGCTCGGTCGCGGTCCGCCGAGACATCCGCTTCTCCTGCGGCTGCTCCGCGTCCTCGGCTGTTATCGTCTCAGTTGAAGTAGGTAAGCGTTGTGACGCGCGTCTCTCGCGCGGCTTCTCTCCGTCCTCTGTGTCGTGCTCGGCGGAGAGTCTCTGGGACGCCCGCCGGCCGGGCGGCGACTCGGGTCCGCCCACAGCCGTCTCTGAGGTGAGGCCCAGCCCGCCACCGACGGCCAACTGCCACGGGCCGGCCCGAACGGGCTGAGAGGCCTGGCTCGACTTGGCGCGCGCGGGAGAGGGCGGCGAGGCGGCCTCCCCCCGGCCGGCGGTCGGCCTGCCGCCGGGACTGGCCGGCGCCGCCGCGTCCTCGGCGCGCAGGCGACTCAGGAAGACGCGCGGCGACTCCGCCGGCGAGACGGGCTCGGCCGCCGGCCGAGAGGGGCTCCAGCCGAGCCGGCGCGCCGCGGGCGACGTCGGCGGCGGCGGCGTGATCACGTCATCTCGCAGACGGCTCAGGAAGACACGGGGCGAGTCCGGGTTGGTCAGCGACGCCAGGTCGGTCACCAGGCGGCCCGGAGAGCCGGGCGGCGTCCACGGCATGTTCAGCTTCACTGCGGTGACCACCGGCACGCTCGCCTTGGTCTCGGCTCCCGTGGCCGGCGGCTGGGCGGCTCCGGTGGCTCCCGAGGGTGGCCGCGCGGCGGGGGCCACCGCAGCCATGGCAGCCGCTGCCGCCGGGGCGCCCTTGCTAGACTTTGGAGGAGCACTCTCCTTGGCTTCCACTTTGGTGACCTGTTTGAGTTTCTTCTTGTCCTTCTTGGCGTAGGTATTCAGCTGCCGCTCGGCGGCTGGAGACGGCAGTCTGGCTGCCGGCAGTGGCGCGACTGTAATAGCCAGTGGATCCAGCTCAACGGCCGCCTGCAGTAGCAGCCCATCTCCGGCGGCCGCCTCCGTCCGGCGCTCCACGTTCTCCGTCTCACTCTCGTGACCGGAGCCGGGGCCGGACGGCGTCCGCTCGCGGATGGCCGTCATGCTCGTCTGTTTGGCGGCCTTGGCCCGCTCGGCCGGCCGGCGGCGCACGCGGCGCGGCGCCTGTTTCCGCGGCGGCGCGGCCACGTTCAGCACGGCGCCCAGTTTGGTGGTGAGCAGCTGCTGGCGGTTACTGATGGTTCTCAGCGGGCCGCTGGCCAGCAGTCTCTTTGATGAGGCTCCCAGCGGTCCAGGCCTCCAGGCGGTCTCCACGGCCAGCTCGGCGCCCCCGCCGGCGGCGCGCGACTCCAGCGGCAGCTCGGGCAGCTCGGGCTCCTCCTCCAGCTCGGCCCAGAAGCCGTCGGCGTCCGGCGGCGGCGCGGCGCCGTACACCAGGCTGCCGGGCGGCGCGTCGTCCAGCGTCTCGCTGGTGGCGGCCGGGCCCTGCGGCAGCGGCGGGTAGGCGCGCAGCTCGGCCGCCGCACCGCCGCCGCCCGACGACAGAACACCCGTGATGACGTGCACAGAGGACTGGCTGAGCAGCGGGGTGGGCGGCCCGGAGCCCTCCGAACCCGCCGAGCCGCCGCCGTCCGGGTCGTGCGACGGCCGGCAGCAGTCGAGCAGCCGGTCGTCGCCGTTGGTGCCCGCCTCGCCCGGATCGTCCTCGTCCTGCGGCTGCTGCTCGTCGTCTTGCTGCTCCTCCTGTTGCTGTTGCTGCTGCTGCTGCTGAGGGGACAGCTCCTCGCCAGTTGACAGGCACGACTGCAGCTGCTCCGTGAAAAACGAGGCCTGCGGTATGCGCACGTCTTCGTTGCCTGCGAAAAAATCGTATACTTAACCAGTATAACGCCTTTTGGGGCGACTAACGGAGCGAGCAAGAGGGTGAGCCTTGCACGTGCGAAATTTCGAGGGGGTACCTCCAACTGACTTGTGCACGGCACCCTACTAACCGGTCTCTAGCGATGTGCCAAATTTGAGCACAATCGGCCCAGCCGTTCTCGAGATCTGAAAGCGGCACCCTGCACGTGCGCACGTGCAAAATGGGTCCCAACTGACTTGTGCACGGCACCCTACTAACTGGTCCCTAACCGTGTACCAAATATGAGCGCCATCGGTCCAGCCGTTCTCGAGATCTGGAAACGACCCCTGCACGTGCAGCAACACCCCAACTCTGGCACATGGATATGCAGTGCCTAGTGGGTGCCTACCTACATGCCAACTTTCAGCGCAATCGGCCAAGTAGTTACCGAGATATTGCAACAATTACAAAACTGACACCTCTTCGTTTTGCACGTGGCACGTGCATAAGGGGTCACCCGCATGCATTGGGAATAGTCCAATACTTGGTAGAAGGAATGAAGCTACCCTATAAAAATTACCGCATGTAAATCGGTCAAGTGGTTGCTGAGATATAAGCCTCGCAAAAGCGTCCGCACGGCCGGCCGGCCGGCCGGCCGGCCGCTCATACTCAGAAATTTCCGTTAATCTAAGGAAAGACTACGCTCGCTTCGCTCGCTCCGTAATTATTTTCCTGTCAAGAAAATTACACGACAAACCGGCTTTCAAGGTCTAGGCGTTTCGAACAAAAAATTACCAGTACTAGAGGTACAGGTTTACGCGATAACTGTATGTTTTGATTTATGTTATGTTACGGGTGCATTAGATTGGGTGATTGACTTGTATTTTTAGATGTATTATTTGGATAGATTTGGGTAGCTGTTTTTAATTAAACTGTAAAGGTTGGTGCAGTGGCGTATCTAGGATTTCTCTCAGGGGGGATCCGCAGTCAAAAGGGCCCTTGCCTGACTGGGTTGAAAGGGCCCTTAAGTGGCAAAAGGGCCCTTGTAGTCTGAGTTGAAAGGGCGTTAACCCGCGCCCCGTAGGGAGGGGGGAGGCAAAACGGCCCCTGTCCTCTTCCGTAGCTATCCCCTAAATGACTGCAAATATCGCCACCAAACTTTCAGGAGCTCTCTGGGCATCCATTTTACACATTGTGACCAATTTTTTTTCCAGAGGCTATGATAGGTTGGCCGCAAATGACGTCAGAATGACGTCATGTTCTGCCATTTTCGACAAAAAAAAAGGTTTCGCAGGAAAAGCCACAGGCCTACAGAGCTGTAGAAACATAAAAATGTTCCGACTTAAAATGTGTAGAATTAACAGGCCTAGGTCAAATCTGAGCACAGTTTACAGAAAGAGCATTAAAAGAGCTTTGATTGTTTTGTTGGGTTGGGCCCAGGCCCTTTCGGTCTGACGTGTCCATCAGCGTGCTGTCGATTTTCCCCATATAAGGAAGTTATTGCTGGCGCTTCTTGGCCTCTCATTGGTCTAACGAATAGACCACTTGAATTCGACCAATGAGGAGCCAAGAAGTAGCAGCATGCTCACAGCGTGCTGATAAATAAACGGGGTGCGAACAGAGCTCAGGGCCGGAAGGATGATAGGAAAGGAATTGAGGGAGACATTGGTCTGGGCGGGCACCTTGGTGAGTCACCGCCCACCGGGGCTGAGCCTGTCCAACAGGACAGGCCGACTAGCCCCCCAAGTGCTCACTGCACCCGGTTACGAGCGTGCTTGATTAGGAGCTGCAGTGCGCTCCAATGGGAGCCGCCCGCATGGAATAAAGTTGCCCGTCCAGGTCCAGCCCGGATCAGGGGTTGCGGCATGGAGGAGAAGGATTTGAATGTCATGAGGATGGAAACGGCGAAACGGGTGTTGAAAGAGCTATTAACTACGCTTTTCCCCGGCACTGTAGCTCCTCATTTCCGAGTCATGCGATGGTTTGTTTAAAATTGTCGAAATTGGATCTGAAAATTGGCGAAATTTGACCTTGGATGACCTATGTGAACTGACCTTTGACCTGATCTAAAAAGTGACCAGAGTAATTTCGTCATTATTGTTTGCGTCCCTTCAAACGCTGCCTTTGGCGTGTCGTGGCTCAGAAGCCGAGTTAGAAGCAGGGGTGCGGAGCTGGAGCTGCAGAGCCGCCGGAGCCGGCATATTTTGCGCGGAGCCGGAGCCGTGAAAGAATATAGCCCGGAGCCGGAGCCAGAGCCGGAGCATTAAAAAAAGGCGGCGACTCCGGCTGCTTTTTTTAACCCTCGCCCCGTTGGGGGGGGGGGGGGCATTTTGCCCCCCCCCTGTGGTTTTTCCTGAAAAATTTTCAGTACCTTCCCGGGCATCAAGTTGACACCTTCACACCAAATTTCAAGTCTTAGGTCACCTTAGGTCAGGAGTTATTGAGGTCAAACTGAGGTCATGTTCGAGCAAAAATGAGCAAAAAACATGCAATCTTGAAACGTTTACCAAATCTACAGTTATCAAGCAATTTCAAAGTTCTTTATATGGTCTAGTAGACAAAAAGCGGCGCTACAAAACAGCTTTCTCGGATTTTCTAAATTTTGGGTTTTTGACCAAAAAAAATCAAAAATTTGATTTTTTTAGAAAAAAAAATAAAAAAAAATCCAAAATGTTTCCGAATTTCAAAAAAGCCGGAATATATGTGATATTCCCTGCGCTCTTCTATGTACATACCAAATTTCAGATCGATATCTCGTTTTTTGGCCAAGTTATAGAGAAAACACTGTTCAAAAATTATGACGTCGAATTTTTGAACTCAATTTTTAGCGATTCTAGACCACGCACGGCAAAACAAAGACCACCATTGAACTCCCCGTGACGAGTTGCATCGATTCGATACCCAATATATGCAAAAATATTTACTTTGAAATTTGACCTAATTTGACCTGACCTTGACCTGACCTTGACCTGACCTTGACCAAAACGTGACCTAAGCTGGCCCCAAAGGCTGCCTGACCCACATAATCGCATTTGTCATGTAAAATAGACCGTAAAACATGTATCACACGACACTTTCATATTGTGACCCCCCAGTGACCTGACCTCTGTGACCTGACCTGGTATCAGTGACCTCAAATAGTAAAATATGTGTTTGAAGAACATTTCCCCATCGATGATTTTCAATGAAATGCATTTTACTCGATTTTACAACGCATTTCTTGAAATGCCTGTAAACGATGAAAATTGGACCTTTAACCTGACCTGTGACGTCATCAGTTTGACCTAGGTCAAAAAAATTGGGTCACAAGGTAGTTCCCTGATAGGGCTATCCAACACCGTTTGCCGCTTGTCGCTAGGTTGCGTGGTTCTCGAGATCTTAGGGTGGGGGCCAAAATGCCCCCACCCCCCAACAGGGCGCGTTGCTCGGCAGAGCCCAACGGGGCGCGGGTTAAGAGGAAAAATTATTGACCTAGTTCGGTTTGACAGTACAAGGCAGTAAAACATGTGGTATTCAAAATAGCCTTGCTATGCCTTTAATGGGCTCCTGATAGCCCATTAAAGGCTTAGCAGATCGCTTTGTGCTATAACATTGAGCTTTAAACAAAATAAGCATGCTTATTTCATAGCCTGCCCTCAGAGGGCCCTTCTGGTGGTCTTAAAGGACCCTCAGGCCTCAATCGACCTCAGATGGACCTTTGCTGGCGTCATAAGGTCTCCGTTAGCCTGAAAGGGTCCTCCAATATTCCCAAGGGGCCTTCTATTCTCCTTAAAGGCCCTGAGTCAGCCTAAGAGGGCCATTCAGTGGCCTCCGAGGGCACTCTTTGTCCTCAGAGGGCCTGTCATACGGCTCAAGGACCAAGGTGGTCTGAAATAGCCTTCATTTCACTTCTGAGGGCCCTCCAATGCCCTCAGAGGGCCCTATATTTGCATCATTACACCTCTGTGAGTCCTCGGAGAGCCCTCTTTGAGATGGCTGAGAGGGCCCTCTTTGATCTGAGATGGCCTGATGACCTCGTAGGGCTCATGTGGTGGCCTGAAATCACCTCAGCAGGCCCTCCAGTGGCCTCAAAGGGTCCTGTTTTTGCATTAGAGGGCTCTCTGTGGCTTCCGAGGGCCCTTTTTGATCTCAGAGGGCCCTCTTTGATCTCAGGGGGCTTTTTTGACCCTTTCGAGCTGTCTGAGGGGGCCCTCTGGCCTTTGTTTGCCTAAAAGGGCCCTCTATTCGCCTCAGAGGGCCCTCTGTTCGACTCCGAGGGCCCTGTGGTGACCTCAGCGGACCCTATTTTTGCATCAGAGGTCCCTCTGTGGCCTCCGAGAACCCTCTTCGATCTCAGAGGGCCCTCTTTGAGGTGGCTGAGAGGGCCCTCTGTTCGCCTCAGAGGGCCCTCTGGTGACCTCAGGGGCTCTATTGTTGCATGAAAGAGCCCTCTGTGGCCACCGAGGGCCCTTTTTGATCTCAGAGGGCCCTCTTTGACCTCAGAGGGCTTTTTTGACATGTTCGAGGTGCCTGAGGGGGCCGTTTTTATCTCAGAGTGCCCTTTTTGACCTCAGAGGGCTTTTTTGACATCTTTGAGGTGTCTGAGGGGGCCCACTGACCTCTGTTTGCCTCAAAGGGCCCTCTGTTTTCCTAAAAGAACCCCCTATTCGCCTCAGGGGACCCTCTGTTCGCCTCAGAGGGCCCTCTGGTGACCTCAGGGGGCCCTATTGTTGCATCGGAGGGCCCTCTGTGGCCTCCGAGGGCCTTTTTTATCTCAGAGGGCCCTCTTTGACCTCAGAGGGCTCTTTTCGACCTATTCGAGATGTCTGAGAGGGCCATCGGGGTCTGCGAGGGCCCTCTGAGTGCCTGAGAGGGCCCTCTGAGTGCCTGAGAGGGCCCTCTGAGTGCCTGAGAGGGCCCTCTGAGTGCCTGAGAGGGCCCTCTGAGTGCCTGAGAGGGCCCTCTGAGTGCCTGAGAGGGCCCTCTGGGCTCTGTCCCCCGTTCGTCTCAGAGGGTCCCTTTATTCGCCCCTTCAGAGGGCCCTCTGTTTGCCTCAAAGGGCCCTCTGTTTGCCTAAAAGGACCCCCTATTCGCCTCAGAGGGCCCTTTGGTGACCACAGGGGGCTCTATTGTTGCATTGGAGGACCCTCTGTTGCCTCCGAGGGCCCTTTTTATCTCAGAGGACCCTCTTTGACCTCAGCGGGCTCTTTTCGACCTATTCGAGATGTCTGAGAGGGCCCTCTGAGTGCTTGAGAGGGCCCTCTGAGTGCCTGAGGGGGCCCTCTGGGCTCTGGCCCCCGTTCGTTTCAGAGGGTTCCTTTATTCGCCCCTTCAGAGGGCCCTTTGCCTCAAAGGGCCCTCTGTTTGCCTAAAAGGACCCCCTATTCGCCTCAGAGGGCCCTTTGGTGACCACAGTGGGCTCTATTGTTGCATTGTAGGGCCCTCTGTTGCCTCCGAGGGCCCTTTTTTATCTCAGAGGGCCCTCTGTGAGCTCACAGGGCTCTTTTCGACCTCTTCGAGATGTCTGAGAGGGCCCTCGGGCCTGAGAGGGCCCTCTGAGTGCTTGAGAGGGCCCTCTGAGTGCCTGAGAGGGCCATCTGAGTGCCTGAGAGGGCCCTCTGAAAGCCTGAGAGGGCCCTCTGTGTGTCTGAGAAGGTCCTGATCGTTGTAAAGGGCCCTTAATTTACTCTACAAGGTCCCTCGTTGGCCTAAAGGGGTCCTCTGATAGTCCTAAAAGGGTCCCTAAAAATGTAATTGATACTTTTCATTATGTAAAAAAAATGTATGTGGTGAAAAGGGCCCTCAAAGTGTTTTCAATTTTTTTTCGAGTAAAAAAAATATTTTTTTTTGCTCCAGGGGGGATCCTAGGACCCCCAGGGTCCCCCCTTGGATACGCCACTGGGTTGGTGATAGGTGCGGGGTGTTCAAGTGTTTTGTATGTTAGGCCCTTTTTTAACTTAACCCTACCCCTACTCCACCCTACCCTACCCTACCCTACCCTACCCTACCCCTACCCTACCCTACCCTACCATACCCTACCCTACCCCTACACTACCCTACCCTACCCTACCCTAACCTACACTACCCTACCCTACCCTACCCTACCCCTACACTACCCTACCCTACCCTACCCTACACTACCCTACCCTACCCTACCCTACAATCCCCTACCCTACCCTATAATACCCTACAATCCCCTACCCTACCCTACCCCTACACTACCCTACCTACCCCTACACTACCCTACCCCTACACTACCCTACCCCTACCCTACCCTACTCTACCCTACCCTACGCTACCCTACAATCCCCTACCCTACCCTATCCTACCCTACCCTACCCTACCCTACAATCCCCTACCCTACCCTACCCTACCCTAACCTTACACTACCCTATACCCTACCCTACCCTACCCCTACACTACCCTACCCTACCCTACTCTGCCCTACCCTACCCTACAATCCCCTACCCTACCCTACCCTACCCTACCCTTCCCTACCCTACCCCTACCCTACCCTACCCCTACCCCTACACTACCCTACCCTACCCTACCCTACCCTACCCTACCCTACACTGCCACTGACAATCCAAGTTTCAGCTAAATCGGCCCAGAAACGGCTGAGATATTGCGAGAACAAATTTATTGTATTTACTGGCGAATCCCCTTGGCGAGCGGTGCCTTGTGTCGGCCTTCGTTGTCAAAGGTCAATGACCTCCCGGCTCTGATGCCTTTCGGCTTTCACTCAGTTTTGCAAGCGAACAACTGAGCCTAAAGCCTAAAGCACGTGCCTTCTGCTCGGTGCCGGTCGCGGCCCCACCACGTGCACACCGCTGAACCCACACCCTCGAAAATTTAATACGACAATTGAGTGCACGCGTCCGACTTACAGCGAAAATTTCACCCCCGTAGCCCTTAGCGTTCCCGAGCAATAGCCTGTTGCCGATTCTAGTGTAAACCCTATGGCACACCACGTGAGCACGCGCCACGGGCGCACCCCCGGCCGCATCGTGCCCAAAATTTAATACGACCTGTTGAATGACGCGACCCACGAGTGGCAAAAATTTCACCCTCCTGCGTCAATCGACGGCGCCGTAATAAGCCATTTTGGGAGTTACCCCGACGGCGGCGGACTTTTTAGGATTTATAATATAGATAACGCCTTTTGGGGCGACTAACGGAGCGAGCGAGAGGGTGAGCCTTGCACGTGCGAAATTTCGACGGGGTACCTCCAGCTGACTTGTGCACGGCACCCTACTAACCGGCCTCTAGCGATGTGCCAAATTTCAGCACAATCGGCCCAGCCGTTCTCGAGATCTGGAAGCGGCACCCTGCACGTGCGCACGTGCAAAATGGGTCCCAACTCACTTTTGCACGGCACCCTACTAACCGGTCCCTAACCATGTGCCAAATTTGAGCGCCATCGGTCCAGCCGTTCTCGAGATCTGGAATCGACCCCTGCACGTGCGCACGTGCAGCAGCACCCCAATTCTGGCACATGGATATGCATTGCCTAGTGGGTGCCTACCTACATGCCAACTTTCAGCGCAATCGGCCAAGTAGTTACCGAGATATTGCAACAATTACAAAAGTGACACCTCTTCGTTTTGCACGTGGCACGTGCATAAGGGGTCACCAACATGCATCGGGAATAGTCCAATACTTGGTAGAAGGAATGAAGCTACCCTACAAAAATTACCGCGTGTAAATCGGTCAAGTGGTTGCTGAGATATAAGCGTCGTAGAATCGTGACCACGGCCGGCCGGCCGGCCGCTAATACTCAGAAATTTCCGTTAATCTAAGGAAAGACTACGCTCGCTTCGCTCGCTCCGTAATAAGTTGTATCAACAGTCTCGTCCTGCGACTATAACTCAAAGGAAACAGGAAGACAATTTGAGCTTATGAGCTAGCAATTTGCCCTACGATCAGTCAAGCAGCCAGCGATAGCACTTACTGTTTTCGCTCTGTTGGGATTCTGACGCCTCCTCGCGGTCGGAGAGTTTGACATTGACGTTGACCAGCATCTGCTGTTCGTCCTCTGTCAGTTTACGCTCCTTCTCCTCCTCCTCCTGGTGGGTGGGCTGGGACAGCTGCTGCTCCTGCTGCGGGGACGGCTGGACGGCCAGCGGCTGCTGGATCTGCAGCTGCACCTGCTGCACCGGCTGCTGCTGCTGCTGCGGGGTGCCCGCCGACTCCTGGGTCTCCTGTTTGACGGCGGCCGTCTGCTGGCTCTGCGCTGCCGCCGCCGCCACCGCCGCCGTCACCACGGCCGTGTGCGGCGCCGAGATGGTCTGCCAGCCGGTCAGGCCAGCCGCCGCCGCGCCCGTGGCCGTCTCGGCCGCTGACAGCGTGTGGAAGGGCGGCAGCAGCGCGGCCGGCGGCTGCCCGATGAGCGGCTGCTGGCCGGGCCGGGCCGACAGCGTCTGTAGGAGGTGCGGGTGGCCGGCGGATGTCACCAGACGCACCACGCGCACGGTACGGTAGTTCTGCGGCAGGGAGACCAGCGGGGACGCCGCCGGCTGCGGAGTCGGCGGAGCGGCCACCGGAGACTCGGTGACGGCCGCCGCCGCTGACGCCGCCGCGCTGGCGCTCACATCTGCCAGCAAACCCGTCTCGGTACTGTTCTGGTCAGCGAACTCGTCAGCCGTCTGGGAACTACTCGGTTTCGGGCTGGTGGAAGCCTTCGCCGGCGGGTCGTCCTCGACGGTAAGCGAGGATGAGCTGCTGCCCACCACCGTCTCCACCTTCTTGTTGGGTGACTTCTTCTTGCTCTTGCTGGTTCCCTCGCCTCCGCCCCGTGACGTGTACACGGGTGGGTTTTTGCGATTACGCGGAGCCGGGGTGGGGGTTGGATTACAGGCCAGATCCTGTTGGTACTGCTGCAGAATAGCCGCGATCCGCTGGCGCGTCTGGTCATCCTCTAACTCCTGTTTCACCGGCGACGGCTTCACCAGGGTCGGAGTCACCAGCGGCTTGGGCTTCTGCGCCGTCACGGCCGTCTTCAGCTTCTGCGGCAGCGGCTTTGGCTTGGGTTTACTGACCAGTGGCGACCCGCTGACTCCTGAGGAGGTAGACGCCACGGACGGCAGTGACGGCGACGCGTCCGGGGTGTAGGAGGGCGTCACCAGGGGGGCGGCGGCGGCCGCCGGCTGGCCCACCAGGTAGCTGGAGCTGCTGCTGCCGCGGCTGCTCTCGTCGTCGGGCGGCCCGGGCTCGGGCACCGCCGGCGGGTACACGAACTGAGAGCCGCCAGACGAGGAGGCCGGCGCCGGCGACGACTCGGGTGTGATGCCCAGCAGGTCCGAGGCGACGAGCGTCTCCAGCTCCAGGGCGGCCTCGTGGCCGGAGCCGGTGGCCTCCGCGCGGGTCGACACCGCCTCCAGGACGCTCTCGAACTCGCGCAACTGCTCCAGCGTGGTGGAGGAGACGGACGGGCTGGAGGCGCCGGCCGGCGCCGCCGCCACCGCCGCCGCTGACGGCATGTACTGGATGGTGTTCCGGCCGGACGGCTGGGCCACCACCGACCGCGAGGGCTGCTGAGGGGGCGCAGCGGCCGCCGCCGCCGCCGCCTGCTGCTCCTGCTGCTGCTGTTGTCTCTGCTGCTCTTGCTGCTGTCGCTGACGCTGCTTGGCGGCGGACTGCTGCTGCTGCGCCTGGATCAGTCGGGCCGTCGGCACGTAGATAACCTGTGATGGAGAACGAGCTCGGCCAGTGAACAAATACATCAAAACAAGGGACGCAGCTGATTAGGTACCTACGATGAAGAACATCAGTCATCAACAAACATACATCACACCGACAAGAAGGCAAACGCAAACGCAGTCTCACATGCTCTACCCTTGGGTAAACCATAGCATAACCGATCTAGTTTTTTTTTTTGTCACGGACTCCGCGAAACTCTCAGCTCCCCATTTGTGTGCTTCGCTCACCTGAGAATCCTTTTTGACCAGCGTGTACTGCTGGCCGTGCAGTAGGATGCTCTGCGGCAGTTTCTGTTGATTGTTCAGCACCAGAACCTGCCCGGTCTGCATGGCCGGCGGCCCGGCCGAGCCAGCCGCCGCGGTGGCAGCCACGGCGCGCTGCGGCGCCCCGGACACCGGCGATCCGGACACCTTCAGTAGGCTGGAGATGCCCGGCAGAGCGCTGGTCGCCGACACCACAGTGGCCGCCGGCGCGGAGGGCGCGGACGCGGCCGGTGCCGCCGCCTGGGCCGCAGTCGGAGCCGGAGTGGGGGTTGTAGGAGTCGGGGTGGCCGGCGGCTCCGGGGGCTGAGGTGACGGCCGCATCAGGTAGTCGGCGATCCGCCCCACCAGGCCCTCGTCGGTGGGAGTGGTCTCAGTCTTCACTGTACTGCTGGTGGCCGTCTCAGACGCCGGCTGCTGCTGCTGCTGCTGCTGCTGGGCGCTGGAGCCCGCTGCCGAGGTAGATGGGGACGTCAGCAGGCTCGCCAGCTCCCGAGTCTTCACCTGACGCGGCACAGACGTGTCCAGCGGCCGGGACAGGATCTCTGAGAGCTGTGACGAGCTGACGGCCGGCGGCTGCTGCGGCCGAGAGCTGGCCAGTAGCAGCGAGAACGCGTCCTGAGCGGACGACACCGGAGGCGGAGACTCCAGCCGCTGGTTCAGCAGCCTCGACAGCTGGCTGGCCTGCTGACTGGCGGCGGCCGCCTGCTGCTGCTGCTGGAGCCGGGCGGCCTGCTGCTGCAGCGCCGGGGGAATCACCACCTGTTTGACCTCGGGCACCTGCGGGTGGCGCACCACAGTCGGCGCGCGCGCCGGCGTGGCGCGCGTCTGCCCGCCGCTGCCGCCCGAACTGGTGGCGACCAGAGTAGGCGTCAGGCTGCTGGAGGGGATGAAAGTCTGCGATACGGAGGTGTCCTGCGAGCGGTACAGGGTGATGGTCTCCTGCTCTCCGCTGGCGCCGTCCAGAGGCGTCTGCAGCAGCCGACTGAGGCCGGCCGACTGTCCGGAGCTCCGCTCGCCCGCCTCCTCCACCTTCCGCAGCACCTCCTGGAAGGAGATGGTGCGCGCCGCCGGCCGGCCGCCCGACGGCGGCGCCGGCGCCTCCGACGAGCCGCCGCCGCTGCCGCTCGGACCCGGCTGCGACAGGTCACCGCCGCCGCCGCCGCCCGACGAGGACAGCTGCTCGGCCGCCGCGTCCGTGCGCGCCTTCTTGGAGCGACTGCCGCCGGAGGGCGCCCGGTTCCGCGCGGACACGGCGCCACTCCCGCTGCCCCCGCCGCCGCCCGAGTTATTCCGGCTGTTCCTGGGCCGGCGCGGCGGCTGCGGCTGCTGGGAGGGGGTCTGCGGAGTTCCGCTGGTGGAGGAGGGAGTCGAGTGTACCGGGTAGACCAGCGTCTCCTGGGGCGGCACCACGTCCGGCAGCTTGGACACCAGGCTGAAGTCAAACTCGGGCTCCTCCTGCTTCTCCCCAGGCTCGATCAGCAGCGGCGTGTTCCACAGACTCGGCTTCGGCCGGTTGATGCGAACGCTACGCAGTGACGAGTGCTTCTTCAGCAACTTTTTGCGGATGCGCACGTTCTTTAGTTGTGCGGGCGCGGCCGCCACGTTGGCTGAATTGCGCCGGTTCTCGTCAGCGCATACCGAAGGGGGCCGCGAGGACTCGGACGAGCTCGAACTCATCCTGTCCCGCAGTGTCTCTGAGAGCCTATGTCGCATCTGCGCCACTATGCTCCGTTTCAGCCGGCGTCTGATGGAGGCCTTCAGCAGACTGTCTGGGTTGTCGTCCGTCTGCCGGTCGGCCGGCGGCGGCGGCGGCGGATCGGACGGCGGCCGCGCCGGCTCCGGCTGCCAGCTCAGCTTGGCCTGCAGCTGGACGCGCGGGTAGAAGTTGGTGGCGGTGCCGAGCGCGGCCGGACGCCGCTCCGGGGAGCGCGCCGGCGACAGCTGCTTGTCGGGCCGGAACTGGCGCAGCAGTTTGGTGGCGTCGGACGGCGAGCCGTCGGGGCGGCGCGCTGCCGGCGGCGGCGGCGGCGGTGTCTGCGGGGGCGTCCCCTGCTGGCTCAGCTGCTGCAGCTGACGCTCCTCCATGTACCGTCGCAGCATGGCCAGCTTCTCGTTCCAGGCGGCCGGCGCCGGACACACGGTCGGTGGCGTCTTCCGCGGCCGGCCGCGGCCCCGCTTCCCGGGCTCGCGCTGAATCGTAACCCGCTTACCCTCCATCGCCAGCGGCCGGCACTTCTTTACTTTCTGAGTGGCAGTCTTTGTAGTCTTCACAAACTTTGGCAGTGTGGGTTCCTCTCTCTTTGGACCGGGTTTTCTGCCCGGCTTCTTTTTGGAGAGCTTCTTCACATTCGGTTCAAGCGAGTCATCCTTAGCAAGAGGTTCCGATATGCTATTCTCGTCCGATGCGGACAAATCACCCTTCCGCTCCTGTGTCGAAGGTTCACTCTTCGCCTTATTGGAATGCTTCTTTTTTGTCTTAGCAGTCGCGCCGGAGGAAGACTTGTGCTCGGTATCCGTCTCGCGGTCTGAGCCGTGCAGGTAGCGTTCGTAGCCCTTCTCAATGCCGTCAAACTCATCTGGCTCCTCGTCCCGTTTGCCCATGAACTGACTGTAGTCGATCTCCAGAAATTTGAGCTCCTTGGTGGTGTTGACCAGGCCGTCGGGGTCTCGCAGGTAGGCGCGGCACACAGGGTACAGCTCGGACCAGTCGCGGCTCCAGGACAGCATCTTCCAGCGGTTGGAGCTGAGCACAACCAGCAGGTCGGCGGCCAGCTGCTCCGACACGCCGAGCGCGTCCAGCGCCGCGCCGCAGCCGCGCAGCACGTCGTAGCTCTCGTCGGAGGCGTGCTGGGCCTTCAGCAGCGCCTCCATCAGCCGCCGGTCGCTGTCCGGAGACGGTGACCGGGACGGCGGCGCGGCGGCCGAGCGCAGCTGGTCCATCAGACCGTCGGCGCAGGCCACGAACGTCGGGTCCGACTCGGAGAGAGAACGGTGCCGCCCCGAGCCGGCCGCCGCGCACGCCTCGCACGGCGACCCGCCGCCCTCTGCGCGGCCGTCCTCGGCCGTCGCTGAGCAGCAGCGGCGCCGGCCGTCACCGCCCGCCGGCGCTGGATCGTCACCGCCCTCGGCTTTCACTGCTGCACTGTCCTCAGATTTTACTACCGCACTGTCCTCGGGTTTATCTGCTGCACTGTTTCCCTCACTCACTGTTCCATCCTCCGCGCTCACTGAGTCTGCGCACTGTTCCATTGCCCCCGCGTCCCCACCCCGTTCCGGAGCGGCTGAGCTCTCGCTTCTCGCCGGCCCCGACTCGACCCGCTCATTGTCCAGCGCAGCAAAGCGGGTGGCGAGTTCGTCCACTATGCTGTCGGCCCGCGGCGCCGGCTCGTCCTTTTGTACACTGTCACCATCACTGGGCGCGGCAGTCGGCCCGTCCTGTCCGATCGTCTCCTCAGAGACCTTCCTCTCCACACCCGACTCCGCCGGTGGCGCGGAATCCGCCATCTCTGCCCCATTCCCAGCGTCCGCCGACTCCGCGACCGCCCCCGAGCCCGCCGTCTGCGCCAGACGCACCAACAGCCTCAGCGTGGCAGCACTCGGCTCCAGCGAGAACGCGGTCAGCACGCACTCTCGGCTGACGTGCGGGTTGTCGGCGGTCAGCTCAGCCAGCCGCTGGAAGCCGGCGGCCAGGCCGCGTCGGCAGGCCGTCTGGTCGTCGGTGGGGGCCGCCGTCGGTGCGGCCGCGTCGCCCGCGTCGTGCAGCAGTTTGAGGTGCTCCATCCGGTTGGTTTCGAGTATGAGCGCGCGAACACAGAGCTCGATGGCCAGCGGTCGCATCTGGGCGCCGAACTGCCGGGAGGAGAACTAAGTTAGAGAAAGCTAGGTCAACTGCGACAAACCAGGCTACAGAGTCCGGACTGTAGTGACCAGCGGTGAAACGTGATCTAAGGTTCAGCCGGTGGCAGTCGCACTGCTACATAAACAGAACCAAATGCAAGTAAAATGCAACATCTTGAAGGCAAATTAAGTCCGGAATCAATTACCTCTTACTTAAATCGCCTCAAGGAAACTAACTAAACAGCGGCTACTTGGAAAACCGGTGACCCTTTGTTAATGCGGCACCAGCCGGTGGCCTTTCGGCCAACGCACGACCCACGACGAAAATTAACAGCGTGGGTGCTCCAGCCACTGAACTGACCATGTGGGTGTCCCTTCCCGCCACTAAGCTGATCACATGGGTTTCCCGCCATAACTGGACATGCGGTTGTCCAGCCTGTCACGCGGGTGTCCCTCCCCGTCGCTGAGCTTACCACGTGGGTGACGGCGCTCTCCAGGGCGCTGACGTGCGCCGCCGACTCGGAGCGGCCGCTGAGCTTGTGGACGGCCTCCTCGATGTCTGCCGGCTCGAGGGCGGTCTCCAGTCGCAGCAGCTGCGCCCACTCCACCGCCAGTTCCCTGTTCACACGCGGCAGTAGACAGGAGGTTAGGTCAGGTAGGGGGCGGCAGAGATCACATTAGAGGGTATCAGGCGCCAGGAAATATACATCAACAAGTGAAGTTCAGGAAAAAATTCACATATGTGAGTCACTAAGTATGCATTCAGTTACTGCGCATGAATCAACATTACAAAGGCAGACACGCAGTGTAGACTAGCGTCCACAGGTGCCGGTCCGTCGGACTGACCTGACGTGGCCGGGGGCCGGCTGTGTCAGCGACTGGGCCAGCAGCACCTGACTGACGAACAGCGCCACCTTCCGGCTGACGCGCCAGACGCGGTCCCGCGAGTCGCGCCGCGCCGCGAACCGGCGTACCAGCGCCACGCCCGAGCCGTCCACCGTCGCCGGCAGCTGCAAACGAGAGGAAAAACGGCACACACGTGCACATGTGGTTAGCGTTGAAAACAAGGCGCAGGTGTCAGTGTCGCCAGAGTCAAAACATGGGCAGAAACAGGTCGCACAAGGCAAATTTTACGGTATGATAATAATATTTATGATTAACAAAAGCAAATACAGTTGCAGGATGGTGATTCAAATTAACGTAACGAAAAAGATTAACTAGCTCAGAATATGTAGCGTTAACGGTAGCCTCAAATCCCGACTATGGTCAACTATGGTGAGCACTGAGCCGACGACTCACCATCGCGATGATATCATCCTTTTGTTTGTACTTGAACAGGAGCGCCACACAGAGATCAAAGAAGTGGTGCCGCTGCGCCGCTGAGCACTGGTCCCTGAAGGCCGGGTCGGCCAGCTGCTGACACCTACGACGGACATATAGACAGAGGGTCAAAGTCGGGTCAATATTGTTAGGGGTGACTACGCGAGAGGTTTATCCTGCCTGTTCGAAAGCGAGACAGGTGAGCCACTATCGCCAAAAAGAAGTTAACTCGATTACAACAGCGTTTCGGTGCCCTGCAGAGAAACGCTCGTCAATCACACAACAGAAATCGTTACAATTATTCCCATAGTTTCCAGTCTCCTACACAAACTACATAATAGTACCCTCTTCACCCACCAACAATTTTCCCACCTCGCATCTCCCCGAAGTCACCAGCGGCCGCCCCGCGGTGTCTCTCACCTGACGCACTGCTGGACGACGGCCAGCGCCAGGTCCTCGCAGCGCGACTCGCAGAGCGTCTGCAGGCGCAGTGTCAGCAGCGGCGCCGCCTCGCGGCAGCAGAACTCCAGCAGCGCCGACTCGTCCACCGGCCGGCGCTCCAGCAGGCAGCGCAGCGTCAGCTCGCCCCACGGGTCGCGCACCAGGGCCACCAGCCGGTGGCAGAGAGCGGCGGTGGCCCGGCCGCGCACCAGCGCGCCACACCGCTGCACCGTCACCGTCAGGTGGGTCTTCACCACGGGCGAGAGGCGCGGCCAGTCACCGCGCAGCAGCAGCTCCAGAGTCCGTCTGCAACGGAGGGCGGACGAGAGCGAGTTAGGACGTAGAACAGAACTGGGAGAGACGGGTTTGGGGCTGGGTAAAAATCAGGTGTAGCTGGAGCAGCAAGCGGCGGACGAGGCCGAGTTGGGACACAGATCAGTGATGAGGACATGGAACAGACGGGTCCAGGGCTGTTCATACAGCTCCAGTTCGGATGATGGCGAGTCAGAACTCAGCTAAGGAGATGGAGCTTACACTGAGCTGGACGAGAACGACCTTGTATTAGTGGGAGAGCTTACTGAGAACAATCCCGGATACCATACATATTTACCGGTCACATGTGTGTTGTGTAGTGCTATTGGAGGTAATATGCCGCACTAGCCTGGCATGGAGATTCAATCGTGCACTTTTGTCACCCAAACAGATTTTTACTCGACACGGAAAACAACTAACTCGCAGCTCACGAAACGGCTGCGATATTCTGTGGTACTCGGGAAGCAGACACCATCTTTCTGATATGCACCAATTTCGTAACTAATTCACCACAGACTTATGACGAAACCACTCCCAACGTAGCCTAGTGAGGTGAGTGATATGACACACGGCTTCTGCGCTTTGTGTTCACTGGAGCACCACCGAAACATGAACTGATCGGTAAAAAATCAAAAACATTCCACCGAAACGGATCTACCAACACCCGAACGTGACGAAACAGCTCGACTGCAAGGGAATTACAAGGCTATGATGGCCGTCGATCACACCACTCGTACGTTTTACACATTCCCAGCTGAGTCATCTATAGCACGGTCCGGGCGCCATGGGCTCATGGCGGTAAAACGAGAAAGACCGGTCCGTCGGCATGCGGTGTTCGTGAGTTTTGCGCTCGGGTGGTTCTCACGCAGTAGAGCAGTCGCCCTCGGGTGAGGAGGAAAACGCTGGAGCCGCCAGGAAATGCACCACACGGCGAAATGATACACTCCCACGGTTTGTATCACAAACAATCGTGAATCGACGACGTGGTGAATATAATATTAAAAGTCTTCTCTGACCCCGAGCTCCAAAGTCCAAACCCGTGTGGAATACGTGATATGGCAACTGATGAGCGAGGCATATGACCATCACTTTTGCAGCACTGCGTAGAACGTACGTATGTCATATTCGAAGAAGCTCGCTGGTGAAACAGGCGACTTGTCATATAGCAGTACATATCAGACCAAAACAGCCCACAGTGAGCCGATGCCAGCGTATGAAAGAGTGCTGTAACCATGCAAGTGACATCGTTGCGATTTCAATGCTACCAGCGAAAATATTGACCTACCTACTGATTGAACACTCTTCAATATTACCGATTACAATCACAGGCCGGCATTTTGTCGAGTTCTGTTCGATGCGTTGTGATTGTCGACGTCTTTTAATAGCACCACATACCGGACTGGAGTGGTTGGAATATTCAACTCCCTGTAAGTCAAATACTGAGCCACAATTTCCACCGATTTTCATCGCACCTAAGGCCGTCAGCGGCCTCCCGGTGCCGCGAGTGTAGCACTCAGAGCGCGGACCGCACTTTGAACACCTGCCTGCAGCCAATCGATACCGGCTCTGAGCATCAAACGCACACACAAATAGCGTCGCAGCGCCGTCTCACAACCGTCACCAGGCCGGGCTTCTGCTAAACGGGGCAAACTGAGAACACAGCAACGAGACAGGCCGCGAACAGAACTGCGATGTTTTCACATCCATCGCAGTGGTATGATGGGTGGTACGCCCCAGCAGCTCCTTCTAATGAGAGCGGTTATTCGGCGTCCGCTTGAGAATGGATTGCCCCTGTCGCTCTTGATGAGCACAGGCATCCATCCGTTGACGGAATGCTGAGAAACGATGCGAAACAACCGCTCCACACGGTGATACACCTGACGATAAATAACAACTAATACACATAGGCTGCGCTGCTACACACACAACACACCTGACGAAAACCAAGTCGACGAGAGACAGACCTTGCTGCACGTCACACTTCATACTTGAAACGTCTAGTAACGTTTGGAACGTTTAGCTGCCAAGGCCCGATTCGGTTCGGTTTCCTCGGTATGAGACAAACAGAGACGAGACTGACAGAGACAGTCGGCGGACAGCGGCGCCGCGGGACTATCGTCGGCGCTGTTCGCCGTGCTCGATTGGACAGCGCCATGCCCGGCTGGTCGCCAATAGCGGCGTACGGCCGCCCGCCGGGACACGAACAGACCCGTCCCCGGTCTGTCCTCGGCACAGGTGGGGCAGAGACCGAGACAGCCGAGCGAGCCGCTGGGAGACCATCCCCGGCCTGTCCTCGGCACAGGTGGGGACACAGCCCCAGACAGCCACCGAGCCGCCGCCGGGAGCGGTCGCGTGTAGCCGAGTGCCTGAACACCCTGAGACGGCGCCCGAGGCCGCCCAGCCGCGGTGGGAGCCCCGACAGGTGGGACGGCTCGAACGGAATAATTTCCCTGAACGGCCGCCCGGCAGAACGGGCCTAAGCGACGAGAGTGCAATATTGCATCAGGCTGCTAGAAGCCCGAGAGCAGTGTCCTGAAATTGATTTTTCGGAGAGTGTGATTGAAGCCGCGAGGACGTCGCTATTTCAAAAAGGACGTCGATATCGGTGCGGAACCTAAGCCACTGAAGCCCTTACCTAAATCTCTTAAAATTAGCGATTTTCACTGGCAATATTGACTAATACCACCTCAAGGCACCTCAAATGATCATATATAGACACAAAGTAATGCCAGTTTGCCCCTAGTAAAATACAAAATTCAAGCATTCACCACAAACACCAAAACAACACTTTGAAGATGTCTAGTTCTTGTCCATGATCGTACACAACAGTCAACAACAAATATGCTTCAACAAAAATCAGCCCAAGAGCCAGCGGCAATCACTAAATATTGACGTCATAAGAGGGATATCATATCGAGCAAGAGGACTGATGTAAAAAAACAGACGTCCAAACAAAGAGGTGGAAAACAGCTCGGAAAATTAATTTCCATAGCTTCCTGTTATGAAATTCAATTAAGAAAACTCCAAGGTGGACGCTGAATTTTTCTTGGCTGGAAAAAAATGTGAAATCATTGTGCACTTTTCAGTTTTGTACCGACGTCGATTAAATGGGAATAACAAGGTCAATCGACGTCCCCAACATTGCGTGTATTTTTAAGCCAAGGACGACATACTTGAATTAATACTGTTGAAATTCGGTAACTTTATTCTAATTCAAACAGATAAACATTAAACTTTTTCCCCAACCACTATCAACATATGCAAAATTAACTACTTTTGAAGGGCATGTTCAAGGGGCAGCGCTAACCCGTTACTGTGACCTTCTGAGGGGAAAAAATAATTAAATATGTTACAGTAATTTGATACAAAAGGTATGTTGCGTGCTTATAGATAAATGTCCAAGTAATATATTCGCATGATTAATTTTCATCTATACACTGCACAGTTACTATAACTGAAAAGTGGAAAACGACGTCCTCAGATCCCTCTATTCCGACATCTTTTCTCCTTCATATGGCAGCATTACCTTCACATGGTAAAGGAAAAAACTTATTCATATCTGACGCACAGAAAACAAAAATAAAATAAAACCGCGTTGTTTACTGTTGCGGCAGTTGGCCAGGAAAGGGGAGTTGAGTGTAAGAGTGGGTTTGTGAGGACTTAAGATATATTTATTGTCATTTTGCATAGCCATGTTTTTAGGTTACAGAGGTGATATTTCTTTTTGTTAGTTTGCTTTTGGTGTTCGATGTACCTCTCGACTTTTATCTGTAAGGGACGTCGTTTGGCTTTCCGGGACGTCACAAAGAGAATCTGTTAGGTGTGGGTTTCCACCCAAATTCACGAAAATCAGGACACTGCCCGAGAGTATGCATCATACTGCCAAGACGACTTCGGAGAACGATCGACGTTACAAACCGTGGCAACGCGGCACAGTCCATCATTCAGTCCATCAGTCAGTCGAGCAGTCACACCACACCAGCCAAATCCTCGGCCAGTCCGCCGTCCAGTCCACCGCGGTGGACTGGACGGATGGTGGACACCGCGATGGTGGACTGACCGGTGCACCGGTCAGTCCACCATCCAGTCCGCCGGCCACCCCATTTACAGTCCGACACCAGCCGCCGTTACCGTCCGGCCGTCGTCGCCGCCGGGCCGCCCCACCCATTAATAGTCGACACCGACAATATCCCGCCCACCGGCGTCGGGCCGAGATGGTGTCAGCGGCGGCGGCCCACCGTCGCGGCCCGGCGAGAGATGCGCGGACCGCCGGGCAGAGGTCGGCTCCCCGCTCTTCACTGCAGATTTACGGAGCGGGGCGGAACTGGGTTTATAGGACGGTAGGGTAAAAACAAGCTCTCGTACTCCAGATAGAAGCTCTGAGTGAGCGCCTACCCTCCCTCCTCCCCGGATCTGAAAGTGGATCTCAAAGAGCGTTCTGAACTTCCGAGCAGGAAAGAAACTCAGGAATGTCTCAATTGGCCGCTAAACTTTTCAATCTGCTTTCTTTGATGCATGCGAATAACACGAAGCGAAGACCGTCGAAGCTGCGTTTGACACAATTCAAGGCGGTCTTGAACTACGAAAAAAGCTGTTTAAATACTCGAGCCGGGAATACTTTTTACTCCAGTCAATTATCCGACGCTCGGGATACCGAATTCAATAAAACAAGGTAATGGACAGAAACGTCATCAACATGCAATAACATTGACATTAGATGCATCATAGCGCTCTACTCTCCACGGCATAATCTGTTCTTTGCACGGCGCGGTGAGCCGGTTAAGGTCAGGAGAGACCAGACACCCGTTGTTGCTTCGCATATGGTGCTACTATAAACATAATTCGGTAAGCCACTCAGGCGTGCAGTGCAGTCTAGGAATGGAATACATGATTGAAGTGGCAAGTCTGGGATCGGGACAGACACTCGCGAGTAATCGCCACGCCATCTGTGCAAAACTTATGATGTCAATACACACATACCAACGTCAGAACCGACAGTCTACGACAGATGTACGAATCAGTTTGAAGGAAGCAGGCTATAGAAGGGAGAGTCTGAAAACGGGACAGCAGCTAGTCGAGCAGTCTGGCAACGGAGCACATACCCACCGTAATGTCTGATAACTCCAGCCGCCTGAGCCCATTCCAGTCATCGACAAACGGATCAGACCGCGGGCGTTGGCTGGCGGATCGACGGATCTCGACCGTGATCAGATCAACCGACCGTGACCCCGCCGGCCGAGACTGATTAACTGCAGCAGTCCCGTCCGGACTCAGATCGGGCACGTCTCAGTCCACGCAGCCGATGGTGAGAAGGGAGGGACTGCTGCTGGCGTAAAGTCACGAAAAGGGTGTTTGAACACGGACCGCCCGGACGTAATTCAATCATTCAAATATTCCCGGTAAAAGCGGCGACTGAGACCGCACTGAACACAGTCACGTATTCCCGGGCTGTCTGACATTTAATTTACTCTGCCATTTTTGTCGCACGTCTCACCGCATAGCTCACCAGCTCGAGGACGGAAGATTCAATCCTTTCATATCTCTTCAATCAACCACGTCAAATGGCAGTCACTATAGCAACCGTGTCCAATATAAAGCAGAGGGCGATGAACAGGCATGTCGCAAGTTGGAGGAACGTATACGAGATCGAGACCGACCATGTACGAGACTCGTACGAAGACCGCATCAACATCAAAGGATATGTCGATCTCCATGGCAACAGTGGGCATATAACATCTGAAACATGACATGACACTAAGCCGAGACAAGGAACAGAAATAACGAATACTATAGGAAAAAGAGAGCTGAGGTGATATTATATGAATGCGATATCTACTGAGGTAACACCGGTACAGTTACATTGGAACAGAATTGGGTTATACGGTGTGAGAAAAGTGTGTGTTATGACAAGGGACCACTGAGTACAGGAGGGAGAGTTGTGCTCCTTTGGAGTGAGTTCCCGAGTTGAGACAAGCTGTGACTCTTATCTAACATCGGATTGAGTCAGCCCACCTAGTGATACAGAGTTACAATTTGTCGCTCGTCAGCAGAAATGTCAAAGACCCATTAGTCGCCGGTAGCGGCACACACCGGTAAACAGGGTATTTCTGTCACTGGTCACCCGACAGGGCTTTGAACAGTAGCCTTTGGTCATCTGTTTCATATATCCCAGTCGAAAGCAACGGCCTCATCAGTGCGGATCACACCACCTGGCAACACCACAGCTCACATCATAACCGGAGCGTCGAAGAGCAACTGCTGTCACTGGGTTCAGTGCCCTCTCCGGCCGATCAGGGTGGGTGCGAAACTGAGCATCAATTCCCCAGCGGCGCCGCAGCCAACTGTGAGCTCCGGCCGACACTCTGCCCGGGCAGCGAGACCGACCGACGACGCCAAGGCGAATCAGAAGTTAGCCCACAACCAGTCCTATCTTCGCCATACGGTGCACATTATAGAGACGTGGGGTCACTCGGTGCGAGTGCGATGATGTGGATGTCGATTGGAGTTCATCACCTACACAACTCGCACCAGTGAATCGACTGAGATCGGCCGTATTTATGAACCGTCCGCGCCCACTCGCCCGTCTATTTCAGGCACCGCTACACCGGCTATTTCAGTCACAGTCGTACTGCCCATTTCGGCCACCACCGCGCCCTACATTTCAGTCACTAATGTACATTCCATTTCAATCACTGCAGTTCCAGTGCTGCTATCGTACCGTTCAGTTCACCCACTGCCGTAGCGTTCATTTGAAACTCCGCCGCAATATCCGCTACTCGTGTACTGTTCATTCAGTCGCTGCCGTACCGTCGGGGTGCCTGAGCCGTCCCCGATCACCACCTGACACCGCTCCGTCCCTCGCGGCCATCCACCTCCGGCGGACGCGTCGAAACGATGTTCTGACAGGTAGCAACAATCCCATCCCCTGACGAGCGGCGTCACAGAAACGGATCGCAGAGTCACATGCATGTCATGGTAGAGTAGCCCACGAGCCCTACCCATCACCCTGGCTGACAGCAGAGTAGTAACCTCGGACCAAGATCACCTCTGTTTGTCGGACGGAGAAAAAAATGGCAATCAGCCAGAACGGACGTGAAAACAGGGTAAGCGATACGGTAAATGTGGCTAAAAAAAAAAAAACGGACGATAATGACCACGGGAAAATGGGAGAAGCGGAAACACTACCGAAAGCGAATTGCATACATCGCATCGTAGCTTTCTCAGAACAACATCTCTTGGCATTCAAGCAGCAGCTAGCTTCAAACATCTTGTATGTGCCGTGAACCATAATGCGCAACAAATACTCTCTCCCGTTGACTGCAGTTCCGTTGATTCCCAACGATGCCATGCAACGTTCCACGAAGCTCCTAAACAGCAACAGCACGTGTGTGGGTCTGATCGTCCGCCACTGGACCGGCATCCCCGATTCCGCCCGCGTCCACCGGAGCAGACCGCTCGTAAAGCCGTGCCCGTCGGAATCACAATCGGACCCAGTCTCGAGCCGGGTGCATCGGTCACCTTCTGTGGCCCTATATGTCGATACAGTCGATACGTGGTGACCGGGCCGACTTGTCTCAGTCGGGAGTCGAGTCGATCTCAGAGGGTCCGCCAATTGGCACAATACTGGGGTGGTGTACCAACACAGTCGGGAGACAGATCCGGATCAACGGAGGGGACACAGAGAATGGGCAGGAAACCACGCTCCACGTGCACAAAACATGTGGAGGTGGGCGCAAACGTGTTAACTAGGGCCTAGTCATGGCTGGCCAATACGATGGAGAAAACGCAACATCAAGGGTATTACGAGTGGCTCAATCATTGATGAAGAAGGCTACTTTTGTCCAGGCACCGAAATAATCTAAAAAAAGTCAGGCTTGCAAATATTCCCAGCAAGATGGGAATACAAAAGGGAATGCCAGAAGCTTCAGCTACCATGGAACAATAAAAATTAAGAACAAACCAGAATTTGTCTGAATAATAATCACCCTTAAGTCTGAAAAGCTGAACAAGCAGGAGTAAATAAGTGGACGAATGTGTTGTGACTCACTGTAGATCCCTCACCACCAGCAGCATGTGTCGGCTATGTGTACCGACCTGTAGATGTGCTGAGCCAGACTGAGCACAGCGTCAGGCGAGGCGCGCGCCGTCATGGCCGCCAGCTTCTCCCAGGCGGAGAGTAGCGCCGACACGCGGTCCGGGTAGGAGCGCTCATGGTCCGTCACCGCCGCCTCCAGAGACTGAAACAAGGGGACATTATAGTTGCAGTTGGTCTGCAGCGTAGGAGCGGTCATGGTCTGTCACCGCCGCCTCCACAGACTGAAACAAGGGGACATTATAGTTTCGGTTGGTCTGGGTATGGGTGGTCATGGTCTGCCTCCAGAGACTGGAACAGCCAAATGTTTCAGTCACAGTTGGACTGGGTAGGATAGGAATGGTCATAGTCAGTAGCATCATCATCAGTCAGGTGCAAACACTGATACCACCAGAGTCTGGATTTTGAACACTGGCTACTAGCTGCCACCACTGCCCTCATATGTTGAAAGAGGGGAGCTGAGGGTTGAAGTGTAGAGGAAGGTCCTAAAGTCACAAAAACTCAGCTAATATAATTGTTATTTCACGATAATCAATGCCAATAAAAGGCAATTCTAGTAATAGGCACTAAAATGACATGACTAAGCAGCATGCACAAAATCTGGTAATGTAAAACGAGTGTGCTAGAACTAGAAATGTAGAATTTAGAAGCAGAACACACAGCTAGTTACCATCAACATTTTACTTTTAATTGCTTATGTTTGCAGTTTCCCATTGCTTTCCTGAAATAAGAATTATCTGTTTTTAGACCTTAACTTTAATCATCTAACTCATTCACTGACTGTCTTGCTTGTTTAGATGTTCTTTATTTCCTTCATTGCAAATGTGACAAGTAAATGATGAATTGAGTTCAATTCAATGGCAATAAAATGCAAATTTATGCTTCAATTTCAGCTATTCAATCATCTTTAGTTTTTGATTTTGTGCTCACTTGTCAAAAACTTTTACTTTACCAGGTAGTTGTGAAGCAGGCATCATACTTGTTTTTTGCAACCAAGGAGAGGCGCTATACCCGAGATGCTTTCATATCAAATCTAATCAAATCAAATCAAACCAAACCTACCCTGACCTAACCTTACCTACAACCTAACACCTAAAACCTACAGCCTAACCTACAGCACCTCTCCTTGGTTGCAAAAAAACAAAACAAGTAAGACACCTGCTTTACTACTACCTACCATTTCCACATGTTTCCACAAAAACTATTTTAGGAATGTGTTAAAAGCAAGCTTGTAAAAATTTAGTACTTAAAATTTGAGTCATTACCTTGGACACGGCACAGTGCCAAGCAGTGCGAGTGATTAAATCAAATTATGATAGGAGCATCTAAAGTTGTGTTCCAGGAATTCCCTAGCACAACACACGGTATTGGTATTGGTAAATTGAAATATTGATGCATGTCATGCTTTACATCATCCACCCCAGGCAATATATGCTTTATATCCAATTAACTACTGTGTGGCCATGTCATGCTGGCAAAGAATAATTGGAAAGAAAGATAATATATCAACTTAACATATTTTTAATGCCATCAACATCACACCAGCACATGTCCGGCTCAAAACGTGAAAAATAGACAGCAATGAGGAAGTGAGACTTTATAGTAGAATAAAACAAGCATCATCATAAATATGCTAACAGATCTGGTAAAATAGCGACTTAAAATGGAATATTTATCTCCAAAAGCAGCGTGGAATGCCGGAGAGTTCACGTTGCGGCAAATCCGGATGATCGTCACATACACGGAAAACGTCTTGACAAACGACTCAGCCATGTTCTTACCTGATAAATGGGCAAAAGAATCTTATCTTTTTCAGTTGAGAATAAAGATTCCATTTTCTCATTGTTTTCCTCGCTATCGTCCTCCGCAGACGCCATCTTGGGCGCAAGGCAATTTTGCTGATTACTGTGTTTTGATTGGTCTATTCTTGCTTTGCGGATCATGTGAGAAACTTTACAGCTTTGTATAAATTTAATAATTGAAAATAAAAAATGAAGTCTAAATACTAGGCTTAATTTTTCTGAATTAATTGCTCATGAAGCTCATATTTTCACAATATTATAATTTTAAAAGAAATATTAAGAGATTTCCTAAAAAGTTGTTCTCAAGCAAGAATTCGGTTAAAACACTGCAATATAACAGATGTACTTGCATTTTGCGAAAGAATAAACTGCGTCTCTGAAAAGGTTAGATTCTTTGCTACAACAGCTCGAAATCAATCATCAAATAACGATTAAAACGATGAAGTGGGGGAAATACGTTTTCCTTAGAGCCAGCGGCGCACAACAGCAAGCACCATTTACCTTACCTTACACTATCGGGAATTTTGAAAGGCAACTTGCCTGTAGGTCCCGCTCTCGTCGAGCTCGTGACTGGTGGTCATCTCTAGTCGTGAGTAGGAGTCAGGTACATCAGATTGGCCCAATGCTTGTCAAGTCTGGATTTGAAGGCATTGAGGGATGGGGCCTGGACAACTGTTGCAGGGAGGGAGTTCCAGTCGTTGAGCGCTCGAATAGTGAATAGTTGTCTTCTGGCTCGTGACTTGGCATGTGGTTTGTACAGCTTCCAGGGACTGATTTACCTACTTATAATACCGACGCTGTACTTCGGCATGATTGACTCCCCGGGTATAGCATGCAGAAGAAAGCGTGACGATTTACGCCTTTTATTCCCATATTTTCCTGGCCAATCGGTTTGCATTTGAAGCCTTGCACGACTTTTAATTGGTCGTGAATCATGACCGCCCTGCGAAATAGATAAAAATACTTACCCATATGGTAGTTATGAGGCATATATGGTAGCAAAAAATAGGTTCAATAACGGCGCAGTTGTGACTCAATTTGCCACTTGACAGTGAAGCTAGGAGGTTGTTGAATGTAATTCGTGTTTTATATTTGTATGAAACAAAAATGTAAAGCCGATAGTTACAAGCTAAATAGATGTCACGATGGTGTCATGCTATATCAACGTGCACTGATGAGTGATTTTTAGTAGCTTTAGATCATAGTGTGTTGCATGCCTCAGATGCCTGTCATTCGGATTCATTATTGTTATCTTTATGCTTTCCTTCATTCATTCATTCATTCATTGATTCATCGTTGGTTATGCTTGAATAGTGTCCAGGAGAAATCTTGAATTTAAATACTAATTGTAGTGTCATAAGGGTTTCTTGCAGTTCTACGACACAACATCACATTGGACGACGGTGAAAACAGGGCCCTGTTTCACCGCCCCACGCTGCGCGCGCTGCAGCGCGCTGGGAGCTGAGGCATACCCCTGACGTCACTCGAATGACGTTGCCTGCGATCCGTTAGCTTATGGTTAATCATGTTTCGAACAGAGACCTTGAAGAACCTAGTACCAATTGAACAGAAGTTTGAGTGCGAATACTGCTAGCGTGCAGATGCCGGATGATGCTGGCGCCGCGGTGCTAGCGTTTTGCGATGACTTCATAGGGTAGCGTCAGAGGGAATTTTGTTGATATTGCCATGGAAACCCAACGTGCCGATGCGCGCAGCGCACTGCAGCGCTTCGCCGTGAAACAGGGCCCGAGGCGCCTGGGGCTATTTAATCAAGGCTCCGAAATTCACAAGTGACATTTAGCATGTAGAAGGGCCACAGAGGGGGAGAAGTTCCAAATGTTACGTGACCCAATATGCCCTCCGGTGCCCTGTTTTCACCGGCGTCCATCACATGGCTTCTGAATCTATTCTGATTGGCTCCAGCTGTGGACTGGATTGCCATTTTGTGTTTGTTTTGTGAGCATTCTGCTGATTTCCATTTTCCAAAAAATGGAACTTCATTGCCGGAGACTTTACACCGGCCCAAGTCTAGCATGTCGGAGTTGCCTGGGCAAAACGGACTTGAGCCGAACCAAATTGCTGGCTGGGTTAGTTTCATTACAGCTTGTATGATTGGGGTTAATTTTGTTAATTAGTGCGCCTAAAATTTAGTGCATATTTCACTTAAAAAGCCAAACATTCATGCCATGATGACACTAATTGGCCGATGCTGCAAATGATTACCAAAACACAATAAACAATTATGAAATCCTTCCCCAGGTGGACTGTAGGGTAGGTAACAAGATATTCTTAATGGCCCTCTGAAGACAGACACGACTGCAGCACCCACCGCCGTGCTGCTCCTCAGGGCCACATCTCAGACGTCTCGGAGGTCTGCCGACACTGCAGTTGACTGGCTCGTGAGCCCGCCGACAGCTGAAAACCATGGCCACCTCTCGTCCGCTGAAACCAGTCGATGTGTACGATATTGCCACGGACATCGGCCGCGAGTTTGAGGCCATCATAGATGCGTTCGGAGCTGGCGCGCTCACCAACCTGGTGCCCAAGGTCAGTGTTTGCCAGATTGTCTCATTGTGAGTTGCTCATTGATACATTGCAGCTTGAGCTGAGTGTTTATGTTTCAATTTGAGTTTATGTGGGTGAAGATCGATGTACCTTTGAGTTTATGTGGGTGAAGATGATGTACCGATTTGCTCCACAAATCGGATTTAATGCTGCTGGCTTCTACATACAATTTTCTTGTTAGTCCCCTTCTGGAAGTGGTCCTTTTCTTCTGACAATGTGTGCCTATTTGTTTGCATTGATCCAGGTGATCCAGGCCCTGGAGCAATTGGAGCGGCTCTCCTTACAGCGGGAACAGGAGAGTGCCTCTCTGCACGAGCTGCGGAAAACAGTCGAGAGGCTCGAGGCCGAAAAGGCGGAGCGAGCGGCCGAGAGGCAGCGCTTTGAGAAGGTCAGGCAGCTCAGAAAAGGTTGAAAATTGAAAAGTACCTATTCAACCAACTATGAGATGAATGCTTTTGGTACTTGAGATATTGCTTTTCTTCATTACTTGTTGATAGTGATTTGTACTCCGACTTGGCCTGTCGAAAAATTTATTGGAATTATTCTCTGTCGATATTTGCCACTGAAATTTATAACGCCATTTTTGTGTTGGCTGTCGCCAGGAGCTGGAGGAGTTTGAGGAGCGCACGCGCGAAGAGACTCAGAAGCTGGTTTCCATGGTAACTGAGCTGCAGACGGAGAACCGGCGGATGCTGGAGCGGCGCGAGGCCGAGCGCAACGGAGACGCCTCCGGACAGACGGGTACGGGGCGGACAGGTGTTAGACGGGCGGCCCCGGATCGTATGGATTTTAGGTGGACGGGTGCGGGCCAGAGAGACAGTACGGGGCTGAAGGATGCGCTTTGGGGATAGGACGTTACGCATATTTGACTGGTGGCTGTGAATTGTGTGGCTAACGGATACAGCTTGTAAGTTGTATGTACATGTATACAGCAAATATAGTACTGATGGTTCACGGCCATGTATTGCATCGGGTGGACACATTTGGCAGACAGACAACATATAACGATATCCAAAGATCGTGGGTTATTTTTCGGGACCGTCATTGTTTCATTGTGTCTCACTGTACCCTCAGGCACTGACGAGGCGGAGGGGGAGATCGATATGAAGGTGCTGTTCAATCTGAAGGCGGTCATCGACAGACAGAGGGACGACCTCACCGCCAAGGACGCGCAGCTGCACGAGAGGAACTCGGAGATCGAAAAGGTACGGTTGATGAGGGGACGGGCGACAGCATGATGGGTGCTAGTGGTCTCATCCAAGGTTAAGTTGGTAAGTTTGCTACCATGGAGTAAAATACACTCGAGGACCGTTTTGGCTGAATTGTTCTCGTAATAAGTGCATGAGTGCTTTTCGGTGAAATGTCTTCCTTTTAGGCTGGTCGTTTCTGTTAGAACGATCGATGACTTGAAGCGAGCATCAGGTATCTGAACCTCCAGTAATAATTAGGTCGTGTTTTGTGTGCAGTTCCAGGCGGACTTGGACCGTATGAAGAAGCAGGTGCGCGAGCAGCGGCGTCGCCAGCGCGCGGCCTCCGGACAGCAGCGACAGCTCAACGAGGAGCGGACGCTGCTGGAAGCTGAGCTTACCGACGTGCGCCGCCAGATGGTAGCACTGCGCCAGCAGCTGGGCACCGCGCAGAAGGAGAACCAGGACCTCTCTCTGTCGGCGGTGAGTGGCGCTCTGGCGCGCGGGGGGGGGGGGGGGTGAGGCCGGACGATGGGGCTCAGGCGGTGGATCCGATAAAGTGAACACTCTAGCAGATTACTCGTGTATTACTCGTATCACTGCTAGCAGTCAGCTGAGTCATAAGTGTCGCAGCCTTTCCTGTGTGATGGAATCTCTGGCGAAGCGTTGACCACAGAATAGGTTTGTCGATAGATGACTCGTGCTCTGACCTGACTGCTGACCCAGTGTGGCCAAATTGGTTTAGCGTTAGGGGGAGGATGTTTAAAAAAGTTGTATGAGGATGTCACTATTTTCAAAAAAAAAACTCGTCTTCAGTGTCATTTTAGGTGCAGTTTTTACAAGTTATGTGGAAAAACTATACCTCACGTCAAGCTCTGGTGGAAAGTAAAAAAAAAATCAAATATTGTCATCAAAGATGAAAAACATTGCAAGCGCGACAGTACAAGTATAACGGTGCGAATCGTACATTGGAACATTTTTAGTCTTTATTCCTTCACTAGGTATGCTTTCAAAACAAAAACGTTGTGATGATGTAATTTTAAAATTTCTGAGGATATCATTATACTTTTCATTGGGGGTGACTTTCCCCGCAACATCACCAATTTGGCCACACTGTGCTGACCTGACCTTCCCTCGCTCCCCAGCAGGACAGTAGCCTGCAGAACAAGGTGGTGTACGACCGCGACGACCCTGCGCGGCCGCGGTTCACCTTTAACGAGCTGAGGGACATCCTGAACGAGCGGAACGAGCTGAAGGCGCGTCTGTCGGACCTACAGGACGAGCTGGCACTCTACCGGCCCGGCGGAATTGACACGTGAGTAGGCCGGGCCGTTAGGACTAAAGTAATGAAGAGGATTCAGGGTGTCTGGTGAGGCATTAAGCGATCGGTAAAGAACGATTCATTAGACGTTTTATGGAAGCTTTTAAGGTCACCTTAGATTCCCTCAGAGGGTGAATTACTCATAAGTGATAACAGCAGTGATTATACGTTTGTTTCTGCTGGTACGTCTAGTACAGGCGAACTGGCGGGAGGTTACGGCCGAAGCGCCCCTCAGTCGTGACACCCAACCCCAAGCTGCAGTGTCGTGGCCTCTGACCGTTGTGTTATTCCCCAGGTCGAAGAGTTCGATCCTGTGTCCTCCCAGTGACGAGTTGGACAGCTTCTCCAGCTCTGACCTCAGCTCACCGCCCTCGCTGCAGAACGAGCTCGAACAGCAAAAGTGAGTTGTCGGCCCCACGAAAACTAGGAGGTCAGCTGCGACAATTTCAGATCCCCTGAGCCCTGAAAACGATACGCTGCATCGGAGTGTCACGTCTGTTACTGTACTGTACACAACGTCGGAAGCGTGAATCTCACTGTACAGCCTAGAGCTGTGCCTGACTCGTATGTGTATTGTTTATAGGACGGTGGAAGAGGACCTGCCCGTGCACGGCCCGCTGCCTCAGGACCCTGAGGACGCCCCCTGGAAAAAGAGCTCCTCAGAGTCCGGCATCAGGCGACTGTGAGTAACCCGGTACACTGGAGATCCATCTGCAGAATATAGACAGCCCATAGGAGGGAGGGCATTGCTTAAACGGTCGGATGTCTAGGATGGGGTAAGGACTTTTCAACTTTCGCAGCTCCCTTTGCTTTCGCTTCGATTTGGTATGCAATTTTGCAGACGTTATGTCAGTGACATTGTGCTGCTTCCTTTTCGGTAGTCGATTTTGGTAGTGGATTGATGATTTCATAGTGGTTTGGCGTTGCAACAACTTTATGTATTTATAGCGGGTTTTGTATTTTTGTGTAAAATCGTAGATACGCGTTTTATCAGTCTTTAGAGGGCATCATATGCTCAGATGTTTGTGAGATGGAAGCGTGGCCATTCTGCTTTTTACGTACCGTCTGTTGCCTTATTTTCCCCTCTTGAGTGAAGGTATAGAAGGGCGAATGATCGAATCACGCTTTAGCTTCAGTATGCGGGATTTTCCGTTTTTTAAGCTTCCGCTTATTCTCTTCATTTATTTCTCTGCGCTTTATTTTCGCTGTAGGTATTTGAAGTTCCTTGCTAATGCCGCTAGGCGCTAGTTGAAGACTGTGTCTTACCGTTTTTACCTGTCAACCAAACGCTCAACGCTCAACAAATAGGGATATGATGCGGCTCGGTGCAATTGTATGGTCCCGACAATGCCGTGTCGGCACTTTCCTGCATTGTCAGCTGCTTTTGGGGCTATCGTGCACACGCAATGTCATCGCTTTACTAACACCACGGAATATATAGTCTATGACATATATGTCGTAGACTATATATTCCGTGCTAACACTGTTTGAGGCCCGGGTTGATGAAAATATACATTTTTAAGCTTGATCCTGCTTCCTGGGTAAAGTGATCCTATGATATCAATTGTAACGCTTTTGTCACCGCGCTCTTATTTTAACCCTTTGTAATATGAAGAGTCGCCGTTTAGTTGCCGATTTTCATCCTGTCCACACCTCATCCCGCTGAGTATGCTCGAACCACCGTCGCCTGACGCCGACCGGCCGGTCGTTCGCGTGGCGTGTTGCAGCATCCTGCGTCAGATCCGGCGGGCCGTAGAGTCGACCCAGGGTGCCGTGTCTGACCTGCTACCGTTCGCCTGAGGTCAGCGCAGGTCACCGACCCGCGACCCCCAGCTGCTGCGCGCGCTGGGTGTGGAGACCGCTGCAGCTGTCGTAGAGTTGGCTCCTTGGCTGTCACTCTCTGGTCTTGGCTCGATGTGTAGATGGCATTTTCTTCCATTCATTGAGATCCATCGTTTGGCTGAGCTTCTTTACAGCACACTTTGATTATGCGTTTCTCAAAAATATTTTGTCATTCACACTGCCATGATTACATTGCCTTGGCTTTCCTCGTCGTCCTATAAGTGATCGCATGCATGTCGGCGTAGGCAATACAACTGTTACGAGACTGCGGCTATTATTTTTTGCTAGAACAAAGCACATTATAATTGTCCAGAATAACTGAGGATCGATGTCTTGCACGGCCTATTTTAGGTGTTGTGTTTGGAAAGCGTGTGGACCATCGTATAACTTCGCTTTCATTTTTTCACCACTCTCTTTGTCATGAAGCACAGTTTGCCATCTATAAATTTGATATATGCACTTAATCTTAGTTCATTTCATCCCACCTTGTTGTGATAGTCTGTCGAGTAATTATGATTTTAACCCGGTGGTCATCCCTGCAATAATGTGTCATCTCTCCATTTCCTCTACCAAACTGGCTGGTAGCTGTTCTGGCGTGGTATCGCTGTATGGATCTGGTGCTTTACTACGCTCCAAACTCAGACGGTCTTACTGACACTACATATTCTGTTCTCCATTGCTCTGTGGCTGGCCCGTCTCGTGGTGTCACTACAGGCCGTTCTGTCGGCCATGGGGGAAAATTCCGCGGACATACGCTGGAAGATAGCTGCAGGGGCTAGGTTTTGTTTCTGGCTCCGCAGTATGCAAGAGAGACATCGGTACGGGCCATTCCGGCCGATGGTAACTGCGCTGGTCCTTCTACTCCTCTGCGTGCTGGCCATGCCATGTCTGACGACCGACGTCAGTACCCGCGTCCTTTTGTCTTCTTTGTGTCTATTATCTAGTATTTGCGTTTTCTGTCCAATGTCCATTGTCCTTGTCAACTGTTTAATGTCCCTGTCCGTGTCCGTTCCCGCTGTGCGCTGACGGTGTCCGTTCCCGCTTTCCGCCGTCCGCTGACGATGTCCGTGTCCGTTCCGCTGTCGCCTGACGGTGTCCGTGTCCTCTCCCGTTTTCCGCTGACGGTGTCTGCGTCCGTCCCGCTGTCCGCTGGCAATGTCCTCTCCCTTTTTCCGCTGACGGTGTCCGTGTCCTCTCCCGCTGTCCGCTGACGGTGTCCGTGTCCTCTCCCGCTGTCCGCTGACGGTGTCCGCGTCCGTTCCGCTGTCCGCTGACGGTGTCCGTGTCCTCTCCCGTTTTCCGCTGACGGTGTCCGACGTCCGTGTCCTCTCCCGTTTTCCGCTGACGGTGCCCGTGTCCTCTCCCGCTGTCCGCTGACGGTGTCCGTGTCCTCTCCCGTTTTCCGCTGACGGTGTCCGTGTCCTCTCCCGCTGTCCGCTGACGGTGTCCGTGTCCTCTCCCGCTGTCCGCTGACGGTGTCCGTGTCCTCTCCCGCTGTCCGCTGACGGTGTCCGTGTCCGCTCCCGCTGTCCGCTGACGGTGTCTCGCAGGTGGTCGGAGCTCGGCGGCCGGTTGGAGGAGGTGGTGCGGCGGCCGGCCGTACAGGCTGCCCTACAGAGGGCTAACTTCACTGAGGGAGCAGCGGGCGCCCGGTTAGACCGGGGGGGGGGGGGGGGGGTCGGACCGGCGTGATCGAGTGGACGTGGGATTGGGGAACTGGAACATGGATGAATGTGGATATGTTAATTTGGTGGACATAGAGACATAAGTATTGAATGTGAACTGCGGAGTGATTGTTTGGGCGGATGCCGATGTGGACCGTTGCGCTGTGTTGTAGGTGGAGGAAGGTTTTACTCGGGCAAAGGGGGTGAATCCAAAGGGTGTCGGTGATGGATGCGGTTGGTAGCGGATCGCGGCGCAGTCTGGGACTATGATGCGATTGGAGGTGGCCAGGCTGCACCACCGTCACATGACGGACTTACCAGCGGCAGAGTACCCGTCCTGGCTCATTTTTGGTCAGCTGGGAGATGCTGACTCACTTCGAGAACTGTGGGAGTGAGTCAGGTATTCCGCGCGTGCATTCGAGGTTGATGGTAGATGGTCGACATGACGGCAGACGGCGTGGTTCTAGGTCACAACGAACTGGGTCCCGATCCTGTGGAATGCAGTTTCGCCGTCCTGATATTTCGCACAATGAGATGCTGCCGTGTTTTTTTAAATTTGGTTTCCTCAGGAATCATTTCATTGTATTCATTTCCCATTGTTTGGTTCTGCTTGCATGATTTCTGCATGATTTCTGCTATCCGCTTTTGGATGTTGTCCACATCTGCACATGCATTTGCAAGCTTTCTTTTTGCCCTCATACCGGCAGCATTTTTGCTGCTGCTCTCATATGCTATGCATCATTACCTACTTTCCTAGAACGTGGTTGTGGCTCTAACTGGAACATTTCACGCTTATTCTACTTCACGCTTCAACTAATAATTACCATTTATTACAATGGACTTACTCTGTCAGTCTTCACCAACGTTCAGTCGAGTTACCGCCCTTGTCGCTTAGCCCCTCTGACCTGACCTCCACCTGACCCGCTGTTCTCTGCTGACCTCTGACCGGTCCGACGGGCGCCGTTGCAGGTTCCGGCGGCTGTTTTACACAGACGGACGGACCGACAGTCCGCGGGCCACCAGCACCCCGGTCAAACCCCAGACGCCGGGCGGGACGACTCGACGCTGACCGCCGCACCTCGCGGCGCTCAGCCCGTACTGAATATCGTTTGACCTGTGTTTAACGGTGATTTTATCTCCACGTGCGTGATCCGTTTACATCTATATCGGTTTGCTAGATATTTATACTGTTTTCAGTTTTCACTCATATTTACGCCATGACTTTGGTGGGTTTTGTTAGCCTGCCAAGCTGGCTTTGGTGAATATTTATATTTGAATAGGTATATGCTGGGAAACCAGAGTTTATTGACGTGGATTTGTATATTTAGCTCGTCGGTTTTTTTCCGATGACAATATCCCCAGGAATATCAAGTATTTCTTCCCTAGTTAGCTGAGTGGCAATGTTTATTTTCATCGCCAGTATATATTTACTCGTGTGCCGTATGAGAGACATTATATGACAACTTTTCAGACGTTTGGGGTTGCGTGTGTAACGGTGTAGGCCTGTGCGTTGTGTCAAACTGAGCTTTCGTCAATGTTAACCCGTGCGTGCGGCTGCGCCGGTACCCCACAGTTAGCCATGTGTTTGCCTAATGTTAGCCCATGTACGCACTGCTGAGACTACTTACCTGTGTGGCTGTCGCTGCTCCTGCTGCTATTGTGCTGTCCCTGTGACGCCTCCCCGTGCTGTGAAGTCGGATCTGAGACCTCTGAACAAATCCTGCTGTAGGCGCCCGAGCCCCGCAGGCGTCCTTATAGGTTCACACTTCCTCCCCATCCCATCTTCCTCACCCATAAGAGACGCACGTATGGAATCACAGCCAATCTAATCTCGTACGCCAGCCACCAGTCTGTGGGCCCATGACTCCGCACTAGCACTCGATCTTTAGCGTCTAAAACACCTCATATCATCACGACCCTTTCTCTCCCCGATCTACTGGTGATCTAGCTGTATTAGACACCAATCCTCCATCCCTACCCCACCATTCAGTCAATCCCCTGCGCTGCATTACCCCGCCGCTAGTATGTGTGTAGCTGAGTTTGTGTCGCAGAACAGGCGGACATAGTCGATGGTTTAGGTGTCGCAGTAGCTGTGTAGAAGGCTTGTCAGAGGGCGACTGTCAGGCGCTAGTCTGTTAGGGTTTAAATCGCTGAGTATTTTAGTTTGAGCGCCGTTCGGAGATGCCAAATCGGACTGACCGTTCGTGGGGCCAAGGGTCGGCCGTGGCGGCTGTCGGCCGTTTTCCAGTGATGTCTCGGAGATTAGAGTGTGGTTGGACGGTGGGGGGGGGGGGGGGGGGTCGGCGGCCATACGTGTGCCACAGGCGAGTGTGTGAGGGGAGGGGGACCCGGACCCCCTGCTGGTAGGCTAAATGGAGTTGTATCCGCGCGGTGTAATATGATGCAGCTGCTTTAGGAGTCATTACGCGCCGCAGCGGAATGCTTTTAACGACGAATTGTTATGTAAACTGGCAGTCGATGCGCAAAATGTTTATGATATGTTCTTCGCTCCGATGCATTATACTATGCACAACATATCTATATTGCATGGTGTATGCTGGCTTTAACAAACAGTGCAAAGCGGTTCAGAGCCGGATATTACCGGTTCTAACCCGGGGTGGCGGAGGTGATAACACGCTAAGACGCGAGGTATAGTATGTACTATGTAGGACCACGAGCGGCGCAGGGTTTTGCAAACCGGTAAACCGTGCTTTAGGTGGTGTGGGAAGCGCGTCGGGCGGTCGCATCGGTAACAATGTGTCCCCCTACCCTTCTTACCTAGGATATGACCTGTCCCGATAACAATGGTGTAATACACCGGAACTGATCCCACCCTACCCCAACGACGCTGTACCCCGTCCCCCGTCTCGCGTCAAAATGTAATACACGTCTTTTCCAGTATAACTGGTGTCTGGAGAGAACTCAAACACGTGCTGGTGGTAAGAGGACAAAGCGACATGTACCCAGGCATTCATGCCATTTTCATTTGAAGAATAACCGCTCATGAACACAAACGCGTCTTCCTCGATTCTGAGTATTCTTCCTCCATTTACACGAGACTGCCGCCAACACTAGCATAGCCAAGCAGCAGCATATTCAACACATCCAACAAGCATAGCCATTGCACACACGCAACATAGCATCCCCGCCGCGCTGGACTAGGTCTCATCACTCACTAAACGACTCGCACAAACACCGCGCAAGCTCAGAATCTCCAGCTAATCGGCAGTTCACGCGCAGTAAAAGGCGAGACGGGCGCCGGAGTACACAGTTAGCGGCATAATCGGGCCAGTGGCATCACAATTAAAGGGACCCTCCCACCTTCAAAAAAGTTAATGAATTGGCATGAAAGTGATGTCCCTTGGTTCAGAAAGAGCGAAAACGAATATCTACCAAATTTCACCGAAAAATATTCACTGGTTTTCAAGATATTAGCCTTTTTCTTTTGTTCACTTTTTGGGATCTCCCCTGTTACTAGCGACTTTATTTGGAAGCAATAATTTGGCAGCCTTAAAGTACGGCAGACGTTGCGCGCAAAGCAGCGTATACCACCACGTGTTAACGATGGTTTTAGTCTAAGATTTAAAAATCATTAGATCTCCGCTGACGTCACAAATTCTAAGGGGGCATTCCAATGCATTAGCCCCTTAGAATCCGAAAACTGCAAGTTTGAAATTCCATATCTTCGAATTAAAGCATTTTTCGATGTTGTGAGTGCCCAAACCGGTATTTGCAGGCCATGGCCACCAATTTGGCTATCTCAACTCAAAACTAATGTTAAGGTGGGAGTGTCCCTTTAATAACGCCCGTAGATACACGATGAAGCTCCTCGCATCCGGTTCCTCAGAGGAGACGGCGGGATGATTGTCAAAAGGAGCGTATGGATAAGAGTAAGATCACACATTAGGTTGGCCCACACCCGGCTAAAAGGCTCACTGATGAAACTACGCACACATTGCTGGCAGAAATCGGAACCCTGATCGGTGTCACATTTGGAATACTGGGCGGTAGACTGATTACAAATTTGGTATGCCGCTGTTCTCTGGAAGTCTGCTCAGTCTGACCAGACAAGTCCACAGACAACTCATGGCCACGGTCTGATGAATCACCGAATCCGTGCGTCCCAGTGACGCTGAACACCAACGTAAATATACCGCCGTCATGGGACTAATAAACGCCCCCACATACGCTCCAGAGCACCGTAATATCGCCAGACCGTGACATGGCCGACCAAAGGACGAAATGCGGCTCCGTCTGCCACGGACTACGACAATGTTCCTTATGCCAACAAGACCTCTGAAACAACTTCACACCGAGCTGTCCGTCCAGCCGGTTTCTTCCTTAGCGATCTTGACTGGGTACAAGATCAATCCCGAAAGGCTTTTGAACTTCAGAACAACAAACCTACAGAATCCGTTCAAGACAATTCTAACAATAAACACTGCATCACTACCTTCTACTTGGATCACTAAACGGCGCCAACGTCTTATCCTATCCCGGCTCGGGGAGCCCACTGCTCACCCTCCCCGTTTGCCACTCTGGAAGGCAGTCACTCCCTGCACTGCGCCCTCAGTCTCAGATCCTACAGAGATCAGTCATTTCTTGGCGTGACACCGTCCTGACAGCTGACCCTGTCTTTTGACCAAGCGCCTGCCATCCTAACACAGCGAAGAAGCTCTTGGTTTCCAAACTCGCACAAAGCATCCCTTCCAAACTGCCTCTTCTTTTGGCTGCACCTTAGACTAGTCTCGACTTTACCAGGCTCTAAACCCGACCAATTATGACTAACGTTCACGAGAACGAAACATATCACCCCACTATGACAGCAGGCTACTTCACTGCCTTCCCGCTCCGCGTCCATCTTCCTTATATCGCGTCTCTCCAGCCCATCTTTCCACCCAGCCTCTCTCCATCGATCCTCTCCTCCCTCCCATCCCTAAAACTCTCACCTTTCCCTCTCCCCCTCTCAGAGCGCCTCCAACATCTCCTCGTGCAGCGCCAGTGTGGTGGTCGCCAGTGTCCCTCCCCTCCCCCCTCTCAGAGCGCCTCCAGCATCTCCCCGTGCAGCGCCAGTGTGGTGGTCGCCAGCTGCCGGTCCCGCGGCTGTGTCTCGTCCCCGTCCATCTCCCCCTCCGTGGCTATCCTCCGCAGGCAGATCAGGATGTCGGCGCAGCGGTGGCCGTACTCGCTGTACCCCTCCGAGGCCAGCAGCCGGCCGCACAGACGCAGGTACTCGTGACGTCGCTGTGAGGAAAGTGACGAAGGGAGGCGGAGGGAGGGCGGTCAGTAACGCTTGGGTTTAAAGGGCGGTCAGATAGCGTAAGCACATCTAAGTATGACCACGAACTCTATGCATGGTAGACAGCAGAATTACATAAACTCATTATTCATTCGTATACATATTGCACAACCGCTATTTTTGTAACATAAGCACTCCCTCTTATAATGTTATAAGAGAACATATAATCTTATATGTTATTTGTTCAAATGACCTTCCCGTTATCGTCCCTGTCTCCGGCCCAATATCCTCTAGCTAGTCTCATATTACCCACCGAGTCACTGAGAAAGGGGGACCGGTGGGAATCGGGCACCTCACGCTACCAGCCGGGTCGCCGGGGAGACGAGACAGACCTCCCACGCCACACTACCCACCGGATCGCCGGGTAGGTCTGCAATCTCACGTTACCCACCGGGTCGCCGGGGAGGTGGACAGACCTCCCACGCCACACTACCCACCGGATCGCCGGGCGACAGGTCGGCCAGGTTGCGCACCACGATGTCCACCAGCACCCGCACGTCGTTGGTGTAGAAGAGCCGCGTGCTGGCCGGCTCCGAGAACAGATCCACCATCAGTTTGACCACCGAGTGGGCCGGCGCCGGCTCGTGGTCAAACACGCGCACCGGGTCCTCTGAACGGGAGGAGAGACAAGTGGTGGTTAGCAGGATCAGTCAGCGATTTAGAAAGTGTGAATAACTGTGATAAGATAAACGGTGGTCTGAGAGTTGTGAAAAAGGTCACGACATAAATAACCATGTCAGTACTCAGCGTGGTGAGTGCCTGAAAGCTTATGCCCCAGCGATCACTTTCAAACTGCTATGCATCAATCACACTGCCTGAAACCCGTGTACAATATTACCACAGTAACCATGAAGATATCGTCTCCTGTCACTGAAACCACTAACGGGCTCTCTGTGGTTGCCAGTAGCGCATAACCCCAGTCCGACGCATCAGCCCGCTCACCCTCTCTGTTGAAGAGCAGCATGACCTTCTCAGTGAAGACCCTGGCGCAGTCTCGCTGCCGGAGCGCGGCCAGCAGCTGGTTCTCGGTCGGCGAGCCGTACTGCAGGTTCAGCGCCAGCAGCACCGTCAGCAGCAGGTCCGCCGTGTCGTCAGAGACCTCCGGCGGCGGCCGCTCCAGCGTCTCCAGCAGGAACGACACGAAACCGGCGCCCAGCATCTCTGCCGGGGGGCAGGGAGCGGGGTCTGATTAGACCGGGGAGTGATGGCGAACAAGGATCCCGCGGAGAAACGAAACATTTTGACATAAATGACTAGTCAGAAAGGGACTGGCAGCAAAGTTAAAAATGAGACAGTGAGATGAAGCGACGTAAGACTTCACAGTTGTGTTTATCGAACTCACCCATGTGACAGTGAGGCAGTTTCTCTCCCATGCAGAGAATCATAGAGAGCAGTAGGGCAGAGTGGCTCAGCCGGATATCGTCCGTGACCGAACTCTGCATATCCCTAGAAACACAGGAAAACACGAATCAGTCGGAAGTACGCACCATGCGTCCTCCAAACAGCCCGCACACCGTAGGACGGCAGCCACTGAAAATATTAAGCACCAAAATAAGAATATAAATGGGCGCATCATACACCTTCAAGGTGGAAACCACAGCCCATCCCATACAATTCAGCCGTTTCCACAGCCGTCCACATTGTCTGGTTGCACTACAAAAACAAACGTTTCATAAAAAGCATGACCAGAACTGCACACCAAATCCTTTCCAAACGACCCCTCGTCACATGCATCCTAGTGGTCGTTCCCCTAAACAGCTCAGCCCCCCTCCCCTCACTCACCTGGCCAGTTCCGAGGGCAGCACGGAGCTGAGCAGCAGGCTGATACAGTCGCGGTGCAGGCCGCACGCCAATCCCAGCGCCTGCGTCAGCGGCTGACGGATCAGCCAGCGCGGCTCCATCTGGTACAGCCGGGCCAGCGCCAGCACCCCCGACATCTGGTCCGACTCGAGCGCCCGACGAGACACGCACGGGTCCGCGTTTGTCTGACGGAGGGAGGGAGGGAGGGAGAGGGAGACGTAAAAACATGCCGGCGGTGTGATTTGGGAGTGGGATACAGCAAACCGACACCTGAATTGGGTTTCCCGCTAAATTGAAGTCGTTTGACCACCTCCGGCCCACCATCTGGAATCCGAATAGCCGTCCGACCAATCAGTATCTATGGTGCTGAGATGCCCCCGATGTGATCATGCTACGGTCGCTGCCCGTCCGTCCACCTCACTGACCAGGATAGTGCTGAGATGTGCGCTCCCACTGAGCCCGACCCTCCCCTCCCTCCTCTCCGCCCGTCCACCTGACCGACCGGCGACCAGTGTTAGGTCCGACGTCCAGCCCACTATCCAGTATAACCCCCGTCCCCGTCCGTCCCCGTCACTGACCAGAATGGTGCTGAGCTCCTGCAGGTACTCGATGATGGCCGGCTCGTCGCAGTGCAGCTGCCAGCTGCGCTGCTGCTGGTCGTCGGCGCAGCTGGTCATCTCCTCCAGGATGACGCGCAGCCGGCGGCCGTCCGGAGAGCTGAGCAGCTCCGCGGCGTCCCGGTCCGCCGAGCTGAGCTGCGAGAGCACCTGGTCCGCCACCGGCTGACGGAGGGTGGAGCAGGGAGGTCAGACACGGGTCCGCCGAGCTGAGCTGCGAGAGCACCTGGTCCGCCACCGGCTGACGGAGGGTGGAGCAGGGAGGTCAGACACGGGTCCGCCGAGCTGAGCTGCGAGAGCACCTGGACCGCCACCGGCTGACGGAGGGGTACCGCGGGAAGACGGGGGAGGGTCAGAGGTCAGGGGAGAGAGGCCGCAGGCGGGGACGGGTCAGAAGCTAGAAAATAGAGGTAGGCTACAGAGCTAACCAATCAGAATTCAGTTCAGGGACAAATCTTTCTTTGAGCTGATGACGGACATAACTAATTGCCAACAGTTTTCACGAAAGAAACAGCTCAACCTTCATGAATTATAACTAAATGAGCTTTGAGGTAAAACAATTCCTAAATGAATGCTATCCATTTAAAGAAACTAAATTTATGGTTTAATCATCTCTTCCATCTGCAGCCCTCACCTGTACGGAGGGCGCCGCCTGTTTGAGAGCCCCCATCAGCGCCTGGACGGTAGCCTGGCAGGCCTGGTGGCTGGCTGAGGTGTGCTGCCGCACCAGGTCCACCAGACTGCGACCGAACGCCGCCGGCAGCGGCCGCTCCGGCTCCGGCTCCCGCTCCGGCTCCGGGACCGGAGTCGCCTCACGGTCATCGCCGTTCGTCTGCTGCAGGGAATGACATACCGCTGAGGAACGACAATCCGGCTACATTTTGTACAATAGTTATCAAAAAAATCAATTAGTGCTACTGTCACGGAACGTAAGCTAATGTTGAATCGAACGAAAATGTTCGTTACTAAGAAAAAAGATCGAGTTTAACATTCCTACACACGCCGTAGTGCACCGACGTCGGGAATTTTTTATTCCACAATCACATCAGACACACCCTACTCACCACGTGCTCGGTCGTACTGCTCTCGTCATCTGGGAAGAGGCTGAGCGAGGAGACGGGTCGCGCGGCCGGCTCCTCCAGCCGGTACAGCTGGTCGCCGGCCGTGTCGCGCGCGCGGTACCGCTGCGCGAGCTGCGCCAGCCGCCGCCGCTGGACGGCCTGCTGGTCATCTGAGAGGCTGCTGGACGCCAGCCGGTCGCTGCCCCGCTGCAGGAAACCAGTGATGTCTGCAGTCGTGGCCTGGGTGCGGAGATACAGGAGATTATAGTCAGAAATGTGAGATATCAGGACATAGGCCTCCCAGTCTCCCCAAGAACATAACTAGAAAACATAAACTCTAGAAAACATAAACTAATTAACAGGCACAATGTCTGGTATTTTCAGAATAAGTCGCCAACAGCAAAAATTTATTGATGGGATATATGTTATGATTAAAGTGCAATTTAAAATGTAAGTGATTGAATTGGTAGGTACCTTCTAAGAGCATGCCATCTTTTCAGCAACAAACTCCAAAGCAATTCAGTGGACAGTTGAGATAAAATAATTCAAGATTTTGTATAAAGTTCATTCATAAGACAGCTATAAAACAGTTAATCTTTTCAATTTTAGAAATGAAACATGATATGGCTATGTAATGCCATTTCATTCAGCACATGAACGTACAGATGCATAATTTGTCCAGTTAAAATACAAAATGGCCTATGCGTGTACAAAAATAGCATACCAATCAATCAAAATAATACCGTAAAATGGGGTGTTAAGGGACAGTTGCGTGGGAAAAACTTTGAGTCATGTTAAGTTCCTAATTTGAGAAGGTTGAATAAAAACTTGAGTGTGGTAGTTAACACTGTTTTGTTCTTGACTAAAAGACAAAATGGCATGGTTTTTCATGCAAGTGATTTGGCTCAAAAATGGTTTTGAAAATCATGCTACATTTTCACAAAATTGAGACATCTCCAAAACTCTGTGTGTACCACATAAACTAGAAGGTGCACAGGTAAAATGAATGCATAGGTGTATTGTCACATGTATTGCACATGTTTCCTGAAAAACTTATACAAATCCACCCATTCATTCATCATCCTCTTCCTCTTTTCTGGACACATGCGTATTTTGAGGTGGATGTGGGGTGCTAAGGGAAAGGGAAGAAAAAATAAAAAATAATATATAAATATAATTTCATAAAGTTTTCTTTCAGTAGGCATGGAAAACACCAAATTCCACATAAAATGCTGGCTAATTCATGCTTTCATCTCTAACACATCCTAATTTATATAACAAAACACCTCAAAACTCCCTTAACACTATCTTTAACAATGATGGGTCAATGAAGACTGATGTAGGTAAATGTGATGTCATCATAAAGGGGCCAAAACAAAGAGGGCAACATAATGACAAGTGACTAGCTTCAAAATGGGTTTCTGTTGACAGAAGGGTACTTATTGGTTCTATTTACCTCATAGTTAGCACATTTTCCAGAGGTGTAAACTGCATTACATGTAATTGGCTAAAAAGGCCATTAGTCCCGACTGGAAAAATGCACGCTTTCGTCGAGAACTCGAGCGTAGTTGGGCGTTTGCGCCGAAAATTTTCGGCGTACTTCGGCGTAAATCGACGGCTTGCGCCGAAATTTTCGGCGTACTTCGGCGTAAATCGCGAAAAAAACGTCCGGGGGGTGGCACCAACCCCCCCTTGCCCTCGGCCGGCGAGGGTTAAATGTCTTCGGGAGTTAAACATCTTAAATATCACTTATCTTGTCTCGTGTTCGTCTCGGTATTTAAGTCATGTTCAGTGAACCTGATTGCGACTCTCCCACGGCGGGAACAGTTCACCGATCCAGAGTGAGGTTATGGATTGTCGGATCCCCTAGTTCAGATAACGTATGCTATCGTGTGCGTATTGACCGTTGTGATTCCTGTATTTCCGGCATGTGGTTTGTGAGCGGACGCTGGCAATCGGTCTCGCGTGGCCTGGTATCTGCCCGATCCCATCGGCCGTGCTTGCACCACACCTGTTGAAGGCCCCGTCAGGCGTCAGTCACCGGCTGGGCACTACTGCTGATCAGAGCCGGGCAACAAAATAAAGGTTACGTTATGGAACATGCCAGTGAGTTTGTGAGTCAGGAGATTTTGTGATAGCGAACCCTGGTGCTCGGTCCCGCATGGCCTGCTGATGTCTTTTGTCTGCCCGATCCCGTCGACCGTGCCAACAACCGTCTGTAGACAGTAGTCACTGGAAGACAGTCACACACACATGCCAGCCCCCCCCCCCCTCGACGGAAAGTGCGTGGCTACAGCCTGCAGCCATCAGTAAGCCTTGAAAATTTTCGGCGCATGAAGCATGGCTTGGTAAAATAATTTCGGCGCATAAACCCTTGCGCCGAAATTTCGGCGCATCACCTCCGCCGAGAACTTCAGCGTAGTGGAGGCATTTTTTCCAGTCGGGCCATTAGTGGTGAATGAACCTGACTTGTTTTGTGACAAAATATGCAAAACATTTCAATAAATAAATTGTGTGCCCTTTCACACCCCAATTGTGGGCATTTGATGACCATTTCTTGAAAAAATATAGGTGTCCCTTAACACCCCACATTGGGGTGCTAAGGGACAGCGATGAAAAATAATAAAAAATAATATGCATGTATATATTTTTAAAACTTTAATGTAGCAGGCATGCAAAGCACCAAATTCCACATAAAATGCTGACAAGTTGATGCTTCTATCCCCAACCCTTCTTGAGTTATATAACAAAACACCTCAAAACTGTCCCTTAACACCCCGTTTTACGGTACCCTGAAAATTATATACCTAGCTCTGTTGCAACTTAAAAGGAAAATAATTTGCCTGAATCCCTAATATACAACCATTGACATCTAATTACTATTACCTAATTAACTTATGCCTAAGCTATCTGAAAACCAAAAATATACTTACTGGAAGGTATAACACATAGTTCATTGGAATGTATCCAACTTCTGCATCTTTGGATAGCACAAGCCACCATTCTTTCTCCTTATTTGGAGAATGAAGCGGCAAAAACCTATCACCCGCAGAAAATGACAGAGCTTTGGGATGTGGAGCTTGCAAGGGATATTTTGCTTTTAACATTTCTTCCAATAATGGCCGACCACCAGAATAACCAATATATAATCCAATAAAATTTGTAGTTCTCAGACAGATTCAAAATTTCAAAACATTCAATCAAATTCAAGATGTTAATTCAAGCATTATCCATAGCCAATGCTTCATATTCCTTCAGCAACTATAGGCCACTTTGGAAGAAAAATAACACAGAGAAGGTTGAATGCTTTGAAATTTAATAACATTAAATATCCAGCGTCAAAAATAAACAATTCAAGAAAAAAACGCTATGAAATGAATTCAACCTTCGTAAAGTGGGGCGCCACTTATGTACTACCTTCGTCAAATATGGAGCTAATGAAATACATGTTCAAAAATGCTCGCAGTGACATCGATCTCTCCGCTATCTACAAAACGCACGAATGAGCAGTCAAAACTGCAACTTTCTTTTCGTTTGCAGCCTCGACAGTCGTAGCTGAATAGAAGCTGTTGTCTTCTGAAGTTTGCTGAAACTTGAAAGTAGTCCAAGTCGACCACAGCCACTACAGCGAGGCATAAATAGTAAGATTTAAGTTATTTGGATAAGACAGGGAAGCCGAAGGACGCATACAAAAAGCTTCAGGAAGTGTACAACAAGTCCGCTTGCACGCGGACCAGTTCTTCAATGCTTTGAGGACGCATTTCACACTCTGGAGAGGTTGGGCTCGCGGAGGTGAGATAATTTACCGATTTTTTTTAGGTACACAGAATAACCTGTGACATTAGACGTCGAAACGGCCCGCCCAGCGTTGGCCCGTTGAGCTGCATTTTTATAAATGCTTGCTAAGACGTCAAAAACAGGCCGCATAGGCCAAGGCCAGGTTTTCTTCGTGGCCCCTGGGAAGGGCAAGATTTTACAGATAGGGAAGGGCGGGGGAAGGAGGAGTCGTGGGACTCCCAACCGTTCTGCTAAACTTATGCGAAACATCAGTAGCCTGTGTGCCTTTACAAGACCTAATGAGGTCTTTTACCTCATTTTAAAGTCTCAGGTCCAGGGATGCTGAGCCGGAGTCGGTCGGAGTCGACAGCTATGATCGGAGTCGGAGTCGGACTTCGGAGTCGATTATGTAAGCCAGAGTGGGAGTCGAAGTCGGAGTCACTGAAAATCCTTCAACTCCATTGACATGCCTGGACTGCGGAGCTGGAGTCGGAGTCGACAGTTCTGCTCGGAGTCGGAGTCGGAGTCGATTTTTGGAAGCCGGTGTCGGAGTCACCGAAAATCCATCGACTCAGCAGTTCTGCTCAGGTCAACCGGTGACTCCTGAAATCAGGTCAAATGCCCCAAGATAGTGGTCCGGTTTTTGGTGAATAAGTTCGTCAAAAATGGTCGCAGAGTTGCAATTTGGGCACGATCGTGTTCGTCATGCGCGTAGGATGGCGTGCTGTTTTGTTCGGAAAAGGTCAACTAAGGGTGTTGACCTGTGACCTGTGGTCAAGGTCAGGTCATAGCTGCCCAGGTCTTGACTGCTCAGGCCACAGTGCTGGGATCGGAGGAGAGCATACTATATATCATTCGTCAGGTCTCCCTGAGCCCATTGGTGACTTTCCCGACTCGCCAGCGAAGTGTGATCAATAGTTATTGACGGAAAATCCAATGACCTCAAACAAACTTGGTGACGTTATAGGTATATGACGCCGGGTAAGGTCCCCAATGCAGAGCCTTCGGATCACGGACGTTGCTAAGATTGTATGAAATCATGATTCCAGACCTCCCTGAATCCTGAGATGTTGCTCATTCCAGGCGCCAAAATAACGGATTTAAAAATTGCTCCCATTGATTCAAAATAGTGAGGTCACGTGACCGACCTGACCTCAGGTGAACCTAAGAGGTAATCCGCGATATACATGCTGTGAGAGCTCGGAAGCTTACTAGTTGCTGCTTCTGAAAGTTTCATTTCCCTGCTGATCCCCTCACACTGAGGGCGTTGAGTTGCGATATGTTCATATCGTGCAGACTGTGTCGTGTGCGACTGTGTGTTGGACTACCGGCCGTGTAGTGTGCAATGCGCATCCGTTCTATTCTTCCGCATGGCGTCGCTCGGCAGCGAATAATTGATTCTCCGTTGCACACCCGACCGGCGGCAATCTGATGCATGGTTACGTAACCGTCACCGGGTGCGAGGAAGTGTCCGTGCACCTGCAATGTCCTCAATGGATGTGTTGGCTTCTCACAAGAAAGCACCGATCACTCCCATGCAAATGGAGCTATTGTCCCTCCTGCAGGGATACGGCGAAGCGTCGCCGTTTTGGAGTATTCTGGTTTGTTCCTTTGTTTATAAACTCTAGCTTGCTATACGGTTATCCCTGATATGATTGTGATATGTTATTCTCTTCAAGTTAATCGTCCTCTCCAGCATGTTATTCGTAAAGCGAGCCGAGCGCAGATCCTGCTTGCGAAGAGGAGAAGGGAGCATAAACACACCGCGGTGTACTGTACAGAGCTGGTGTAACCTGCAGCTCTAAATCCATACGCCGCGCGGGTCCGGTTATGTAATGCCTGGCGGCGGAGACTGTGCCGCTCGCAGGAGGCGCCTCAGTAGCTGCCGACGCGTGTTCACACCACCATCCGACTCCGAGCCGACCACTGCACCCGGTGAGTGACCCGGCCGACCTCGCGGGGTCGCCCGGTGGGGCCGTCTGCGGTCTCCCCACGTACCGCCCGCCGGTCCCCGACCGTCTGAAGGCTGTGTGTTCTCCCGTCCGTCTCCCGATCGCTGATTGGTCCGCCAGCGATGACGGACTAACGTACGTTGCTTGCTTTCAAGTGGTCAATGTTGCAGACACTAATCAGCCAGTGTTTGGTCTAATCCAGGCTTAATTCATAGGCGGACGTTTATTCACTCGAATATATTTTGAAGCAAAGCTCGGTACATAATAGGCGTAAACGTTTAAAGTTGTGATTCCCAAAAGTGCTTGAAAAAGAGCGGGATGGACGGATTCATTGCAGAGGGGATATTGAGCATTGTCGAATATCACATACCGATTTTCGATGCTTTTTTGTTCTGAAATGTCACATCATATGAACAAATCTATCTTAATAATGCTACAAATATGAAGAGTTATCGTGCACGTAGCTGCACGATAGCATACGTCCACGAGGTAACCATGCAGGTTTCGCGACGTCGTAAAGCATAATCAAACCTGTTTGGGTCGCACCATATCTACACTATGCACAGTACCTAGCACTTGGGCGGTGTTATATAACAATGTGCGCAATAATCCAACCGTTAGAATACCGCCGTCTGTCATATCCATTACCCGCGAGCACCCGTGGAGCTGAAACAGATGCTGATTTGTTCTCCCTTGTAACGATCTCAGTAAGTGCTGCCTACTGTAGACATCTATACGATACAACTTGATTGGAAAGGTCACGGGTCCCTCAGAGGTGAAGAGTGGCCGTGTCCCAATACTATCCCTCCCACGGCCTACCATGGACCACTGGAGTGAGCAGTGACATCCCATTGCCCCACACCCCTGCCGCAGCCCGCCATGGACCACTCGGGTCCGCCGGGGGTGAACAGTGACACCCCATTACCCCCACGCCCCTGCCGCAGCCCGCCATGGACCACTCGGGTCCCCCGGAGGTGAATGTTGAGCAGATGCGACACCCGTACAAGGACAAGCGCCAGGCGTTCACGGAGGACCAGCTGGTGGCACGCGAGCCGTTCGGCCAGTTCCGCGACTGGTTCAACCAGGCCTGCGCCACGCCGGCCATCCTCGAGCCCAACGCCATGTGTCTGTCCACTGCGACCGCCGACGGCCGGCCCTCGGCGCGCTTCGTCCTGCTCAAGGGCTTCGGCCACGACGGGTTCCGCTTCTTTACCAACTACGAGAGCCGTAAGGCGGCCGAGCTGGACTCCAACCCGCGCGCGGCGCTGACCTTCTACTGGGAGGCGCTGAACCGCAGTGTGCGCGTGGAGGGCTCCGTCAGCCGGCTCCCCGAGGACGTCTCCGAGCAGTACTTCCACTCGCGGCCCATCTCGAGTCAGATCGGCGCCGCCCTCTGCCGCCAGAGCGTGGTCATCCCCGGCCGACAGATGCTGGAGCAGCGCGAGGAGGAGCTGGCGCGGCGGCACGCCGACGGCAGCCCCGTGCCGCGACCCAACTGGGGCGGCTACATCGTGCGGCCGCACACCGTCGAGTTCTGGCAGGGACAGTCGAACCGCGTCCACGACCGCATCCGCTTCCGACGCGTCGACGAGAACGGGGAGAGCGCAGAGAACGGAGAGAGCGAGGAGAATGGGAGCAGCAGCGAGGACGGGTCCTACGTGCACAAAGGAGAAGACGGCTGGGTATACGAGCGCCTCGCCCCCTGAGTCTGTCCTTGTTTGAAGAACGACTGCCGCACAGGTAAGGCGATCTGAAGGAAGTGCGTGAGGCTACTGTATCTGTCCTGTACGCAAGGATGTAACTATGTCTTACATGATGTGGATATTCCTGGCGCTTTCCGAGTCACTACGGGGCCCTTTGTGGTGTTAGGGATGGTGCTGGTGCCTGCTCGACTATGGTGGTGGTGATTGTTGTGGTGACGGTAATGGCTGACAGTATCTGCACACAGGGGATATACCTACTTCATATGGCTGACAAATAACTGGCTTCTGCGTATCTGTCTCCGTGTCATCGCTATTTCGGGCGGTTGTATATCAGGAACAAGGTGGCGATCCTAACTTTGAATAACAGTCATTGATTGACTCTGCATTAATAGCCATTTAACCGTGCCATTTATGTGTTACCGTAGCTCTTGTGACAATACAAGTAAGCTCGATCAGTCGTCACTAACAAAGTATTACAGTACTTTTTGAAAATAACCGAGCTGGACTCAACCGCAAATGGCGTTGAGCACCTATCAATAGTGTTTCCAGTAGCTGACACTCGTACATACGCCAAATGTTAGCCAGCTTTTCCCGATAAGGCACGTTGTATGTCGGCAAGTCCGCATTCGGTGCCTGAGTGTTGTGGGCTGTTCAAAGGTGTGTCAAATGTCGATAGATTCGTACCTCACAAGTTGTCTCCTCTGGATAGTGGATGACTTTATTGTCAGATATATTTTCGAATAGTCACTGAAATATTCATACCCAGCGAAACTGCTTGTCAGATCGTATATGTGAAAGCATAATAAAAACATTTAGACTGAACACCCTGTTTTGTGTATCGAGCACTTTACATAACGTGAATGTATATCAGATCTCGCATTGGAAATGTAATGTCGAGGGCGGAACGCTCCACATAAGCACAGACGTATGTACATCCAGACACACAAACACTCACACTCGCCGCCAGATCAGTCCACACTCGGTGAACCTTGACACACAAATAAAAACGGGGCTCGGCCGCGGCGACTCTGGTCCCGGCCCCGGACATCTCAGTCTGTTCGGGGACCGGGGTCGGTCGACAAAAACAGCCGACCTTAGCCGGGCGCGGCTCGGTCGGGGCGCCACCTTCCGGGCGGGGTTGTTCAGCTGAGGCTGTACCGGCACCGCTCTGGTGACCCCGGACACCAGCTGACGCCGCGTCTCTAAGTAGTGTGACCGTGACACGGAGATAACCCTCCCCGGCCCCGCCTACCCTCACGTGACGGCCCTCCTATCCCCACCGCCCCCCCCCCCCGACCCGTCTGTCCCCTCCCTCTCAAACCCCGCACAGCGCTCAGACCTTCTTGTCGAGTGACAGCGCCGCCGCCTTGGGGTACTCGAAGGTGCCCATGAACAGCATGGTGTGCATCATCTTGTCGTAGATGACGTACATGAAGGGGTGGTCGCAGATGAAGGCCCGCGGGCTGACGGGCCGGCTGGTGCGCATGGTGATGAGCGCCGTGGCAGCGGCCGCCTCGGCTCCCTCCTCGTTCACCTCGAGGAAGGTCTTGTGCAGCGCGCTGCCCAGCACCAGGTTACCCGACTTGGAGAAGCCGTTCAGGTTAGCCGCCGACGCGTTGAACAGGCTCTCGAAGCCGAGCTCAGACAGCTCCTGTTGATAGACAAGGGTAGGGTCACGGCGGCGATCGGGACAGCGAACATTTCAGGAAGGAACAGAGTCAGCAGCCGAGTAAATAATAGAGCAGCATGTTCAGGGGCAATAAAAGGCCAGGCTAAGGAAATAGTTCATGTACCGTCATTCCACACTAAGTCCGCCCTTTTTATACGAATCACCCTGCTCCCTCCACTCTACCCTACTCCCTCCTCCTGTTCCACTCACGTCGCTCATATCGTAGTTCTCCTCGATGCGGAACTTGGGCACGGTGACGTTCTTGATGTCCACCTGCCACAGCATTTCGATGGCGTTGCGGAACACCTGCGGCGTCAGCCTGGAGACGGTGTGGTTGAGCGCGCCGTCGCGGAACGGCGGCAGCAGCAGGAACATGCTGATCTGTTCGCCCAGGTAGGGCAGCTCCAGGACGTGCGCCTGCAGCTCCTCAGAGACACCTGGTGGGCAGATTGCGAGATGAACGGAGTGCTATACACGGGCCGGTGCAGCGACGGCGTGCTAAGCGATGACGGCATCGTATAGGCGATTTTATGTCACGCTCTAGTGTTATCGCAGGAGACGAATTTGATGCTAGTCGTTATCTAAATTGACGGGTCAATGAACGAAATTCAATCAATCAAATGAAATTTGCTACCTCCAGATCTAATTGAACTCTTCCAAGATAAGTTATGGTTCTCTATGAAATCGGTATCGGAAGAAAAAAGGCTCATTTTCCAATTCAGATTTCCGTCAGATACAATTTTTCCGCCGGCCGTTCAATGTCCGTCACGTCCAAATAGGTATCGTCATTTACCGAAGTTGAAGGCGCCGCTCTGCGTCATGTAGTTGACAAAGGTGAATTGCTCCTTGGACGAGTAGAACAGGCCCAGCTTGGTCTTCTCCGGCTTGAACTGCGAGTACCACGTGCCCTTGAAGTAGGCAGCGTTCGCCTGAAAATAGCACATGGCCGGGTGATGACGCTGCCTGGACTAACTGGCAATCGTCGGCCCCGACAAATAGCACAGCACGGTAAAACCGAATAGCATTCGCTCAGCGTTTATGGGCCTCCTCCTGTAGAAAGGAAGTAAGACTGTATAACGTGCACGGATACGTCCAACTCCAAGCTTGGAACAGATAACCACACGCTCTTAGCATATAGAATACCTACTGCGAAACCTTGCATCACTGGCCGTGCAATCGTCACACTCCCTAAAATGACCTCGCCCCCGGGAAGACTGTCTAGTGTCTACTCACCAGGACCATGCGCGTGCTGGCGTCCACGGCGCCGGCCGGGATCAGGTTCCTGATCCGGTTGGCCGTCTGGGTCTCCACCCACTGGTTGATAGACTGGCGAGCCTCCTCGCTGAAAGGGAACGACAACGGTGGTTATTAGTCGCTGATAGTCGATTGTCGTTGATAGTCGCACCTGACGTGGGAATTTGAACTGAGGTGGGTGCCTCACTGCAGAGTTTATCCGAATCGAAAGCATTTTAATTCGAAAGCCGTTTCGGCACGAATAGTTACCAAGGGCAATTGCGCTACCCCGTTAAAATCCTTGTGATTTGTAGGTAATCGCAGAATGGACGTCGAATATTGTTGGCGGAGTAAACGTCGAAAAGCAAATCCCTAGAGTAGCCGAGCATAATTAGTATGCGAAGGCGTCTCACCTGTGCTTTCTGAAGTCGAGCATCTCCAGTTCGTCGTGGAAGAGCTCCGTCATACATTCCTTCACCTCCTCAGTCTTGTCAAAGTACAGCCTGAAAACAGCGAGAAAAAAATATTAGCAGGAACCGAGGTTAGTGCTAAGCGCGATGAAGTATTGCCAACAACTATCTAGTATCTACGGAGTGTCAGGGTGGATGCCTACTAGTCTACTGTTTAAAAGTTTATAAAGTTTAAGTCTGTAAGTTTGCACACCGCGGATGTGGGCATGACATGAATGAGCTAAATCCTCCTTCGCAACACCGAGGAAAATGAGATAATATCTTTGCTACTGTTTCGTAACCAACTTAGCTTGTTTTCCTGAAGAGCTGTTTCCAAACCTCACCCAAAGCGGTCATTAAACCGCAGCAACCTATTTCTACCAGACTGAGGCGGTGACTAACTTTTCAGTTTACCGGCATAAGCATGTGTTTCCGATACTGCGAACCGTTTCGTACCGTAGAAACGAAGAGCCACGATAGCCACAATGGAAACACTTCTTAAATGGGATCGGTACATCGTGCATATAAATAGGCGCAACTGGTAATCGAATAAAGCTTTGTTAAAATGATGACATTTTGTCAATAAATGAGATTCATAACAAGCGAACAAAATGAACATAAACTCTTTTATTTAAATTTCGCCATTTACCACCCCACTGGCCGCCGGCGCTTTCATCGAGACCGCGCTGGCCGAAGCGGGCACGACGTTTGTGTTCATAGATGGCGCTACTGGTAAACGCCTGAATGTATGCTGTACCGCATTACACTATGTACTTACACACCGCGTTCGCAGGCGCCTGCAGGGATGCTGCACCGCAATACAACATACGTGGGAAACATTCTAGATTGCCCGTTGCCCTACCTGTTGGCGACACGCAGCGTGTTCTTGTCGGTCTTCTTGTCGTCCATTTTGCGGATGTCCTGCCAGAAGTGGATGAAGCGGAAGGCGCGCATCACGTCCACCTTGGTGAGGTTGGTCAGCCCCATGGCCTCCTCCATGGCCAGCAGGGTGTCGCCCTCGGCGCCGAAATAGGCCAGCGACAGGGCGCACCACAGCGAGTGTGGCGAGTAGAACACGTTACGGTCCTGCCGGATACCAGACAGAACGCCGAGAGTGAGTGAAGGGAAAACGTTTTGACGTTGGCAGTTGTATACAAGCTAGGCAGTAACGACTTACATGAAAACGTATATCGATAATGCTCGACATGAGCCCCGTCTCGACTGTTCGGGACAGCCGTCAGCCGACTGCTGAGAGATCTATGGAGTCAGACGTCTGGCCTTGCTGGGAGTTGTATCGACCCGACCAGTCTAACTTCAAGGGCAAACGGAAGGTGACAAAGTGGCTGATATGCGGGCTTTCGCAGTAATTAATGCTGATAAATGCAAGGCATGGGTGTTTGAAAGGCATAGGCGCCAGCACAGGATACACGAAAGTGTAATACATGTTGACCTCTGATACGGTCAAAAACCAAAACCAGGTAACGAACATGCAGACACTTAAATATAGGACAGCCACATAGGCGCTTTAATTGGCTTAGTGATCTGAATGAGTTTTACCCTGGCTTGACACCACGCGCCTGTTTATTCTCAAAACGTCAGACTAAGCGTTCCGTTCCGGTGTTTGACAGTGACCTCGGGTGAACAGACACAACTACCACCAATAGTACCGAGAACGGGCAGCTGGGTCAGCGTAAGTTCCGGCTGTGACGTCAGGTGACCTATGGACCCCTTGCTGTCCACACATCCTCCCTCTCTCCCTCTCTAACACCCTTATCTCTCTTCCTGTCCGTCCTGGAACGACTCACGCACGGTAATTACTACGAGTACCGAGGTCAACCTTCCCTAATGCGACACAGAACAGGCCACGAAGATGAGTGGATGACGTGGGTGCCGAAAATGCGGAAATGATAACACCGGAAGTGTGTGTGTGTGGGGGGGGGGGAGTTCGCGAAAAACGACGCGTTTCGCTGGAACGGATCTAATGATTGGACAGGGTATACGAGTTTCAAGGACGTATGATGATGGAATAAAGCTGACATGAAAATAAGGCGGATCATAAACATTGTACAGCTTTGCTGATTCGGGGAGTAGGAAGTAACTACGTGGTAATAACACACATTCGTCGCAGTCAGCTCATCGTTTCGAAGGCTGCACCTATCGAAAGACCAAACTTTGTTTCCGTTTTAAGCAGAACAATTCAACATAAAAACGTATTTCAAAAGGGCATCGTGATAAACGGGAACGAGCACTAAGTATTTTATCAGTCCTGATCAACCTGGCATCCTGAATTAGCATTGAAATAGGTCAGCATCGACTATCAGTAGGTACCTATTCCCTAAACCAAGCTAGAAATATCAAATTCTCTCATTTTCTCCACATTAAATCCTCAGCCGGTTCAGCCTATCTCGGTTCCCCTACCTCTGCCAGCGCTGAGGAGTGCAGTCTCTGGAACAGCCGCATGGCAAAGTCGT